TAAGAATAGATAGCCCATCGATGTCTTGTGGCTTAAAATTTACTGTCGCTGAAGCTAAGGCACATTCATCGAGGAGCAAAAATCAACCGGTTCCCATCAAATTATTTTCGTTGATAGAAGTAGACTTTATTTTCTCATATTCGGAGCACTCAGCTCAGTATCTGAAAGAATATGTGCTTTTAGTATTCGAAATACAACTCCATTGCGACGCAAAGTTCCCCCGCCATTAGCAAACATAAAGCCACCCCATAATTCTATTCATCTGCGAATTTCTTCTGCAGCAGGTTCTTCATGGGACGTCAACCAAATTTTTACGCATCTGCGGCGGCCCAAGTACCATCTAATTCTTCACTTGAGCACGTTATCCCTGATTTACTTGAAACCTGTCACTTTCAGACACCCTTATAAAGCGATAATTGCTTAAGGGCTACTCCCAATTTTATCAGGCAGCTTGATCTTAACAGTAAAGACGTAATAACCCTAGAGTCGCAATCGACTTCCAGGATTCAGAATGATGACATAGAGAATGAAACTCAGCCGAATCCACCTCATTCCCGTGCCAGGCCGCTGAAGTCTGACCTAGCGATAAGATCAGATAAGTCAGATAATAGTCCGCGGAGATCTTAAAATGTAATGGTAGGGGCGCTCACCGATCGTTCATACGAAACTCGCTCGTTCCGCTGTGCCTTAAGGGCTCTCGCTCGAGCCCAACCAGCAGCCGCACAGCCGCGCATGATATATAGGCCGAATGACATTACCGACAAAGACAAGGGAGACTGGAATGGCCATTTCTGGCTTATTAGCCGTCGTCAGCCAGTCATACCCAAGCCCGAAGTGTGGAACACCCGAGCCTCGAACTCGCGACCTGTTAGTTAGAAGTCCACGCCTCTAACCACTGCGCCACGAGCCTGTTGCCCTGTCAGTTTTTTTCGATCGGGAATATACAGGGCGACGGGCTCGTGGCGCAGTGGTTAGAGACATGGACTTCTAACTAACAGGTCGCGAGTTCGAGGCTCGGGTGTTCCACACTTCGGGCTTGGGTATGACTGGCTGATGACGGCTAATAAGCCAGAAATGGCAATTCGAGTCCCCCTTGTCTTTGTCGGTAATGTCATTCTGCCTTTCTTAATAGGTTCCTACCCCGAATTCTCAATTTAAATATGACACCAAAATTGGGATGTCCACTAGCACGCCAGTCTGTAAACTGTAAGCATATAATGTCGCATGTAATTTTTCCAATCCCGCGGCTGGCCCAGCACTCTAAATAATAGAGCCTATTCATAACGTAAACAGCTTCTCAACATCATTTAGTCTGTTGTCCAACATAAATATTCTTTCATATTATGCTCCACATTCTCAAAATCCTATTATTATGCTCTCTATTTCAAACCTCTTCATGGGTCTTGCCCGAACATGTTTCCATACAATACTGCCTCATCAGTTAGTGGTACTATTCACACAAAATTCAGACCACAGCAGCTTTGCTTTCCACCCCTTTTCTTTCTCTCCGCAGTTTAGTTTTCCACCATCAGCTTTTCCTTTTTTATAAGCATCAATGAGCGGGACTTACATCTTAGGAATACGCTCAGTATTTTGTCTCTCAACGCAAGATCAGTCACGCAAAAGATGGCACAACTAAGAACTCTGACCTCTGAGTTTGGCTCAAATGTTTTGTGCATTACTGAATCTTGGGCTCACTCTGTTATGTCCAACTCGGCTCTTGTTATAGATAGTCTCAGCTTATACCGAGAGAGCCGTGTTGAAGCACGTGGCTGTAATTGCTTTCTTTACCTCAGAGCCTCACTTGCACATACGCCGTATGAACTGAACATTTCTTCTCTGGAAAGCTCTCCTTTGCTTCGGTCATCCTTCCGCAAAAATCAAAGCCTTGATCGGATGTGTATATAGTCCCCCTTGTTACTCCGGACATGAAAGCCAACTTTGTGAACTCTTTGAAAAAAATCGCAGAGACTTCATTCGTTTCGACGATAATCGTAGGAGATTTCAATTTGCCAGACATTGACTGGCACACACATACTTCCTTTCCTAAATTCCAGAAGCTTCTAGACACCATTCCCTTTTCCAACTTGTCTCAGTTAGTCCACTCTTCGACCAGAAACGATAGTGTATTAGATTTGATTTTTCCTAATGGTATCCTCCCTCTACCTATGGATTTCCATCATGACCTTTTTACCAGTGATCATGCATTACTTCATTGTCGTCTTCCAGTTGCCATTTCTGCAAAGCCAACAGTAAAACGTAGCTTATGTTAACGAGGAATTAGTAAATACCCTTAAAATGACTCTAGACTGGTATACTATTTTTTTTTCAAATAATGATCTCAATTTTTGCTACGATTTATTCCAGTGCGTAACAGAAGGTCTTTTTGATCTCATTCCAATGAAGAAGTTTAAATCATATGTCACTTGTTCCACTGTACAAATTTTCTTAAAAACAGACTTAAAAAGCTACGGGAACACCTTAAAGATCCTTCCATAAGCTCATTATAGGTTCACCTAAGAATCACTGAAGTATTTGAATTAGCTTCGAAAATGAGACCCGCGTGATATAAGCGTGGAAAGTCTTTAGCTAGTAGTGGTGCGAATCCTTCTAGATCGGTTGCTCGGGTCTTCCGTAAAAGGTCATCTGCTAAATCCCACCAACTCATTCTGTTTCTGCTCACTCCAACAATTCCTTCACTACAGGAGTCAGAAAAAGCAGAATTATTGAATTCATCCTTTGCCAAACAATTCCTTCAATTCCTCCGTAGTCTGATGCTTCCCTCACCACCATTAATATTGCTTCTACAAATATTCAGAAGCTGATAAGCCAGCTTACTAACTCATATCTCAGTAGGTACTGACAATATCCCAAAATCTCTTATAAAACAACTAAGAGATTTTCCTCCTCTACATAGTAAACTCTTTCCAGTCCTCGAAAATGGTTTCTTTCCTGACTATTGGAAAACTTCTGTTATTATTCTTATATTTAAATCTGGCCGTTATTCTGATGTTAAAGACTATCGAGGTGTACATACAACACCTTTTCTCACAAAAATCTTTGAAAAAAATATTGCCATGAAAATTAGTGACTTTTCTATAGCCAATCAAATTATTAGCTCTTCCCAACATGACTTTTCTACGGATGGCTCTTGTGAAACGTGTCATGTGTCGTTTCTCCTCGTAATCATCATTTACCTGTGGTCGTTATTTATTTTGAATTTAGTAAAGCCTTTGATAAAGTGCCACATAGAAGACTTAGTTAAAGTAAAAGCTCTGGGACTTCACAGTCCCCTTGTAGACTTTATGAAGTCATACCTGTCTAATCGTAAGCAAAACGTTTTAGTGGGTTTTTCATTTTCCAATGAGAGCCCTATTGTAAGTTGTGTCCCATAAGGTACCGTTGTATGTCTTATTTTGTTTCTGCTTTGCATTAATGAGATCTCGTCGGAAGTTAAACATTCTCAATCTTTTATTTATGCTGATGATCTCCAATACGTTTATTCACTCACAAAATATACGACTCTTGATTGCCTGGAGCAAATGCATACTAACTTGCTGGCTATCTCAGCGTGGAGGGCAAAATGGTTAACAGGATCCTGTTCATCAAAATGTCGCTACATGTGTTGTGGACCTGATCAGCTACCCCAAGCAGTGGTTTTTTAAGGCACACATATGACTGAATGTGCCACTGTCAAAGACTTAGGCTTAAGCGGCACCAATAATCTAGATCTCTCGCCACACGCCGACAGAATTACGGCCAAAGCTGCCCAGACTTATGGTTATATTTTCCACAGTTTCTATCTTCCTGAAATTAGACTAAGACTTTAAAGAATGTTTCTACTTCCCATTCTCGAGTATTGTTGCCCATTCTTTGGTTTGATGAACGAGGCTAGTCGTTCAAAAATTTAAAATGTTCAAAGACATTTTACTAGAAGACTCTTACTTACGGAACATCCAAAAAATTCCTACTCAGATAGATGCCGTATAACTAACGTAAAAATTTTATGGGTTCGAAGACTGGAATCAGACTTCTGTCTCCTATTTCGCGTTAACAATAATTCAAATGTTCCTCGGATTTCAGCCCTTACCCTATTTGGTCGCGCATGCAATCTTCGCAATTCTTCTTGATTATGCCTCCTCCCATTTCCTCTACCTCTAATCGCTCTCTTTTTTGATTCCGGTATAATTTCCTCTGGGATTGCCTTCGAATAGATATAAGATCATTAGATAATCTGCATACTTTTAGGACATGGCTGCGCCTCCAACTAAATACTAACTCGATTTAAATTTTATTTCCCTCATCTTTCTCGAACAACTTTCTCCTTGATGCTGAGGAAGAGCCATCTGGAATTTAGGACGCCACTACCAGATTACTGTGTCCGCTCACGTTTACTTCTCTCCGTGTGGTTTCGCTTTATAGGCTCTCTCACCAAAACTTTCGATTTTCTGGATTTTTTTAGTTCTTGCATCGTGTCTTTCACAGGACGCGATGTCCCTTCTGACAAATCCTCTCAAAAAGTAGGGGGCTAAGTTGACGTGTCTCCTTCACGGCTAGACTCTAAGCGGACTGTGACCGATCGCGTCTAGGTCCCCCTGTCTCGCCACTTAGAGGCCGATAGTCTGATCTAGTTTTGGAATTCTGCCTTGACGACTTCCGTTTTGATTCCCCTATACAATATCACATGCAGGCCAGTCTTGTTCGGCCCATATATTTACTCTTTCATGAGCGGCCGTTTTTTATCCTCAAAAACCATCCAATTCATTTTCATTTTGCCTTTTTCCTTGGGAGTTTTTTCGTTGACCGTTTTTAATATCTGACTGCTTATACTAGGACCGTGAACTGAATGCTGTGCAGAATCTGTCTACATGTTCTAAAATGTGCTTGAAAATTTATTTTTACTTGCTGTAAATGTACCCTCAAGGGGACTCAATAAAATAATTGTTTGCTAACATGGTTTCCGACGAAATCACTCCCGCTTAGAAAATATGCTCTGTTCAATGGAGCAGTTGTCCCGCTCGTTAGACGAAGACCCAGGATTCGATGTCGTTTACATGGACTTCAATGAGGCCTTTGGTAGTATTCCAAACCGCTGTTTCCTCTACAAAGTCCGAGAATTTGGAGGTAAAGCTGGACCTACTAGACTGGGTAGAGGACTCCTTGACCGGCCAATCGCACTTTGTGGGCATTGGCGGTGTGAAATACTTAGTGCACTGAAGTTGTTATGTAAGCAGGAGAACTTACTACTTCTGGGTGACTTCAACGCGCCAGGAATAGACTGGAACATTTCCCTAACAAACGCTCCGTCCACGTCATTTGACCACAAGCTACTACAACTCTCCCTGAATGAATACCTCATTCAACACATAAAATTCGGAACATGAATGAGAGACGGACAACGATCTAACTGTTTAGATCTCGTTTTCAGTAAAGAAGAAGGACTCATAAGGGAAGTGAATCCACAACCTCCACTCGGTTTAAGCGATCATATTGCTTTTACCTGCGTGTGTTCTCTCCTATCGAACCAACAATCAAAAATCAAGAGGCGCAGGAATATTTGGAAGGGTGACTTTAACGCAATGAGACGCACTCTTTTGGAGGAAACCTGGTTGGTCAACATAGAAGACTCAGACGAATTCTGGCAGTACTTTCGCGGGATTATAGAGCGTCTAATTGATTCCCATTGTCCAATAAAAATGACAAGACCATGTGCGCGACCGCCGTGGGTCAATCCGACGACAAAAAGGCCATGAAGAGGAAACAGAGACTCTGGAAAAAGTATTTGCAACTTCGAGATCCAAGGTCATTCGCCGAATATAACGATCAGCGCAATAAATGCCGCAAACAACTACGGGTTGCTAGAACTTCTTTCGAGCGCCGACTGATATCAGAATCCATTACATGTCCCAAGAACTTTTACGGGTACATCCGCAGTAGGAGAAAACATAGGAACGAAATTGTGTGTCTAAAGGATAGCTTCGGAAACTTATTAGTTGAAGGGCCGCAGAAAGTGCGATTACTGTCTCAGTTTTTTTAATCGGTTTTTACGGAGGAGTCCTCAGAAGACAATCAGCAGTCTGAAATTGACCGAGACAGCCGGGAGCTTCAAATGCGCCAAGATATTGCCGTCATTGAAACCGTCGCCTTTTCCGTCGAAGAAGTCAGACGCATCCTCAGTCAAATAAAACCTGATAAGTCTCCTGGACCCGACGGAATTCCCGGGCTGATACTTAAGGAGCTATCAACGGAGCTGTCAAAGCCTCTTTCGACTCTCTTTGAGCTGTCAACGAGAACAGGAAGGCTGCCCTCACAGTGGAAGACAGCTAACCTCGTTCCATTGCATAAGGGAGGCAGCGGGATGACAGCAAGCAGCTTTAGGCCTATTAGCTTAACTTGCCTCCCTTGCAAAACGATGGAAGCTATAGTAAAGAACGCTATACAGCAATTGTGTGAAGAAAATAACATCTTGCAGGATTTTTAACATGGCTTCTGGAGAGGACGTTCCTGCCTCTCAAATCTGCTAGCTTGTCTGGAGATCTGGACCAGGGCTCTAGAAGAGGGTTTTGAGGTCGATGTCGTATACATCGATTCCCGCAAAGCTTTTGGCACTGTCCCGCACCAACGTCTTCTTCACAAATTAAGAACCATCGGCATCCGGGGAGATCTTCTGAACTGGATTAGGGCGTTTCTGGTTGGTCGAAAACAACGTGTGTGTATCGGGGATGATATGTCAGAATGAGTGAACGTGACCAGTGGTGTGCCGCAAGGCTCAGTTCTGGGACCATTGCTCTTCATCCTTTACGTTAACGACGGCCTTCAGGAACTCGACTGCGGCAAAGTAATGTTTGCAGACGATATTAAGCTCTGGCAGGTCATTAAGGGACCGAATGATCAGAGATCCCTTTAAGATAATCTGCACCGACTGCAAGCGTGGTCGAAGAAATGGCTTCTAGAATTCAATGTGGAGAAGTGTGCCGTCCTTCATCTGCGTCCAACCAACTCTCATTCAAATGAGAGCCTGAGGACATATCACCTGAAAGATATAACGCTCCCCACAGAATCTTCACAGGAGGATCTCGGGGTTTGGATACATAACCACCTGAAACCAGCACTGCAGTGCCACAAGGCTGCAAAAAAACGTCATGGGAGTGTTGCATGCAAGCAAAAGGGCTTTCGTACACTTTGACCAAGACCTTTTTGGGAGAGTTTACGGCACTTTTGTTCGGCCCCACTTAGAATATGGCATACAAGCATGGCGGCCATGGCTAGTAAGGGACCAAGCATGCCTCGAACGAGTACAACGTCGTGCAACAAAGCTGGTAAACGGGCTAAAAAGCCAATCCTACACAGACAGACTGGATTGCCTTTATTTATTCCCTCTGTGTTACAGGCAGCAAAGAGGTGATCTTATCCTCGCCTACAAGATAATACATGGTCTTGAGCATGGACTTAAATTTGAGGACATGTTTCAGTGGCACCTTTCGCCCAATCCTTGTGGTCACTCGATGATGTTACGGACATCGATGTCCAGGCTGAATCTTCGTTCTGAATTTTTTACGCAGGGGGAAGTGGAGAAATGGAACGATCTCCCTCAGTCAGTCGTGGAGGCTACGTCTCTGCAACTCTTCAAGAAACGCTTGGATGATTATTTGTGTCCCCTGTTTTCCCTCGACAGTCTGAATCTGAACTAAGACCCCACGTCCCCACAAATATTTTCTCTGAGACAGTGCTATACAAATGAATCAAGTACTGTTTTAATAGCGAATATTTTTTGTTCGGGTACAGTTATTTCTAACGAGCTGACATGTAATCAATCGGGTTTTCAAAGGCTTAGCCTATTATCCTTGCCAAATAAGCTGAATAATCTGAAATAAGCTGAAATCAATACCAGTGCCAGTTGTGAGTGGAGTACCCAAGGACCCTATGCCCAGATCAGTAGCGTTTTCAGTTTATGTTAATGACTGTATGGATGGATTGGACTCCAAAGGAGTCATGTTTGCTGATGGCATCAAATTATGACGAGCGGTCAAGAAGGCGAATGATGGGCGAACCCTGCAAGGTGAATTCAACCGTCTATTTGAATGATCCGGTAAATGACAGCTAAAATTCAACCTTGAAAAGTGTGTCACACTGCGACTCAAAACGAAGGAGGAAATAAGTCGAGAGAATAGCGAATACGTCAATGGAGGGAGGTTTTTTCAAATTAAGCCGGACAAAAAGACTGTGGATCAACATTTTATCGTCTCTAAAGTCCTCTTCTGAGTGAGTCTGGGGGTCAAAATCGTAAACGTTGTCTTCTTCACCATTAGATAACTTCAAAAGATATGGATAAACAGCTATTTGTATAATTATAAGGAGTCTTTATTCTTTCGCAACGGGAGTGCGAAATTCAAGCACGGCGTCCCTGTATGAAAAAGTACTGTAAATTGCTGAAAAGTGTTCAAAGGAGGGCAATACAAATTGTAAAAGGATTCAAAATTCTATCTTACACCTGCAAAATTGATGATTTTAATCTACTTCCTTTTAGGTACAGGCAGATCCGAGGAGATCCCACACAGACCTTCAAGTCTGTGAGGAATCTGCACTGTGCCTTGCAATCCGATGATTTTTTCTTCTTGGCCACAACAGCAAACCTAAATGTGCATTCCCACAAACTTCGAGGAAAAAGATCCCATCTAGATGATTTGCAGGTACTCGTTTTCCTAACGAGCTGTTGGTCCCTGGAACGAACTTCCCGGGGACGCGATAAAGGAGTGCTTCATAAAGGCATTAAAACAAAGGCCGGATGTGCAGTTGTTTGAACAATTCCGCTTAAATGGACACGAGAGCTCCATTATATGAAACGAGCACTTTGCACGAACATACCGCTAATGAAGATGATTGTTGTTTCATATTTACCACTACAGAACAGAAGGAAATAGGTTTCTTATAGCACTGCTTCGGCACTATCAGCCTCCTTTGAACTCAGGAAAAATATTGAAACCAAACTCACCCATTTCGGCTGCACTTCGACACGTTTGTTTGTTTTAAGCTAAAAAAACCGAGTTCCGAGGCACACTTATAGTAAAAATTAGAAAAAAGAACGATATACACGAATATAGAGATTTAAATTTGGAGTTTGGTAGTATTTGGGACCATGAATAGATCGCCCATCATGGAACCTGAAGAAGTTTGACATAGGCCTGATACTGAAAATATTTTCGACTTGAATAAATTTGGGTGTCTGCTAATTCTCGGTTGTTGGTTCCTTTGGATGGTTACTTAGACGTGGTAGCAACGGTCGTTTGTCCCCAAGGTGGCCTAGCATAGTTGCCTGGACTAGCAGCTAGAGGGTGTGCGGTTTGCAGCCTAGCACATTCACAAACAATATGATGCAAAAGGCGCATCCCACTGACAACACTTTAGTAGCACGTTTATTTAGCGCAGTATATTGTACGTGCCGATTTCGATAGGGTCTTCAAGGCATTGCTTATTATCCTTAAGTATATTAAACTATACTGAATTACTGATCTAGAAGAAAGATAGGGTAATTTCATTTGACAGTATGATGTCTCCTCTTACATTCACTAAAATTTTACAACCAAAGCCGTCTATAACTACCGTAGGTCCAATTAAGCCCCCGAACAGTTCTTTCGTCCGCATATCGGATGCCAGTCAACGTCCCACTATTAATCCTCTCAGCAGTCCTTTCGTGAATCGCCCGAGGCATTTACTCCATGACATAGTTCCTGTTTCCCGCCACTTAAGACCAATAGTTCTCACCTAATTTAGCCTTACTTCTATAGTTTCCATCCTAGATATCCCTGCCAATACCAGCCTCGACTTGCCGCGAGTTGCCGCTGTGGCTGGAGGAGGCTGTGACGAGGCCAGACGTGGCTGTCTGACGTGGCTTCGACGTGGTATTCGACACGACAGCTAGGTTTGGCCTCACCATCCGAAAAAGTGCGCTCCCCACTCCCCGTTCGTTCCATCCCTTTATGGCCTAGGTTTTGTAGCCGCAAGTACACTCGTTTCAAAATATTGGCCATCGCGGTATCCTTAAATAAATCGTCAAATCATCCCAGCCTCAACGAGGGCAAACCAGCGACAATCAGCCCCGGTAAGTGTAAAACCGGTTGACCAAGATAGCGCATACTCTGTCATATGACAAAGTAAAGTGGAGAGACAGTGGTTAGAAACAGAAGTTTATTGAGCATGTGCAGGTGAAATAAATCAGCGCGAAAAATACATATAAGGATGCAACTCTTCACGGGGCATTAAAAGACTTCTGCGCCAATAAAGTGACCACTTCCATTGGCTATTTGAGGTTCCTGAAAATGTCTGTGGTAAAACATACGTAATCCTGTGGTAATTGAAGTAATTAATACAGTTGACGGCATGTCAAAATAATGCTTCCATCGGGAGGGGGGCGAATGGCGATCAAACGTTTTCAGTAGTGAGTTCGTCTGCCCATTCTCAGACACTGGAAAGTCATGCACACAGCTCTATGTACATGGCCCACACTGACCGAATGTAGAGATGCATCAGATTGGCATTGCAGTGTAACTAGTGTCGCCTTCGTCCTAGTTGATTGCGGAGATAATTGGCGGTCGCGGTGGCCTCATGCTATCATTGTCTCCAGTGAACAAAATTCATAAGACGAAATAGGGAAAGGCTAATTAATGCATTTTTTGATTGAGCCGTTGGTGAACATCCAGGCGTTTTTGTACCCGCCCTAACAAGTACTCTTTGCATAGGCCTACAATCTCATGGCAGGTACAAGGAAGCTCAGATGTCCTCAGATGCATTAATTCGCCTGCCCCAAGTTGGTTTTACGAACCAACTTAGAGACAATGACGGCGTGAAGTAATAAGGGCAGCAACTTATCACAGTGGTCAACGAGGGTGGGCTCGACACTGGTCACAGTGAAATGCGGGTCCAGCGCAGCCCAGCTGCCGGTCAATAGGGACTAGGCAAAGTAAATGTACGTCACACTTTCCAATCCCCGAAGATGGATAGGCGGATTTACTACTACTGGGAACCTCAGAGTAAACCTCTCGTAGGGAATTAGCAGCGTATAGTATAGACATTTTAATAATATTATGAGAGAAGGAAATATCACGAAGTATGTTAGGAGCAATTCTTCAGTTAACTAACCGCATATTTCGAAGGCAAAGTTGTGGACATGCGACGCCATCGGCGGTACCTTGATAACGAACACATGTAGGCAATAATCCAAAGCAAAATTTCGTACGGTATGGATGCTGCGCCTGCGTTACCACCGCCCTCCATACCGGTTCTTCGGCTCATGGAACCAATTAATCGCCGTTTGTCATACTACCTTATTGTCTTAATTAGCAAAAGGGGGATTTTGGCCAATGGAATCTGTACGCGGCAATAAACAAAAATGTAACTTACCGGTGCGATTACCAAACAATGCTTAGGCAAAGAAAGATCGCTTTTCCTTCGATTCGCATCTCAAGCAAGTGTGGCACAGCGACGCACAGCTTAGGACGGTCAGGAGATTTCTGACGAACTCGTTCTCATTTCGCCCCCTACCACGGCCAGTTGTTTGATTTGAAAGTAGTTTTACAAATATGTACACACCGCCTCATCTCCCAACTCCATCTGGGTAATTAGCCTGCGAACGAAGTCCTTGTAGGCCTTAACTGTGCACAGTGGCAAATGCAGGTGTGATGGTCTGACGTCAACAGCAGTGGCACCCCTATTTAATGTACTGACAACATTTTTCATTGTTGTTTGCAGTTGCTGTATACTGTTGCTTAGGGCGACCATTAACTCAGCCAGGTAGTCGACTATTTCCTAATAGATTGTCATGAAAATTTTTAATGCTCTTTCTCAAGGGACGCTGACCAAGCCTTCTCGTTAGTCGTGTCTGTCTGCGCCTGCTGGTAAAATACTGGTAGGGTAGCTGGCACCGGCAGAGGCGCCCGCAGTTCCGTAGACAGTCTTGAGTAATAAGGAATAAAACGCTGTTTCCGGTATGAAGTCGATGGCAAAGGTTGGCTCGACAGACTCGACTGAGAGAAGATGTGCGACATCTGTTCGTCTGCACTTGGCCTACGAATTACTGGGAATAAATATGTTTTCTGCAGTATTCTGGATGGTGTGGGCCAACCAAATAGATGCTTCAGGCGACACAGTGGATCGCCATCATCAGCTGAGTCTGACGCCTGACTGTTAACATATTTGCGAAGACATGTTAATTGTACGGGACATGTACTTTCTCCTTATGCCCATGCCCGATTCGTCCGGCTCTGAGCTAGAGAGGTTGTCCGTCAGCTCTGCGTCTCATACCAGCTGTCCTGCATTCAGCAGCGTCGGGTTAATTTTCAGCGCCTTCACTGCGTTCACCTTGGCGCCCTCTGATCGCTGCTTGTTACTATGCAACAGAACAGCCTGCTGTTTGTTGTTCTTGGGTCAGAGAAGGCTACTGACGTCGTCATACCAGGCTGCATCCACCATAGTCACAGTTTTGTCATTTACTAATTCATCAATGGAATACGTCCACAGGGGATTTAATATCCTAAGATGGACATTGCAAACAAGGATCACGGTGCACGGACAGAGTGTTATAAGGGAATCAGAAAAAGCAGACTGTCAGTGTTAAAGGAAGCGCATTAACAAATGACGTCTAAGAGGGCAGCAGTTGAACGAATCTCTGCCAAAAGGAGGCTTAAAACATATATTGGGAGGAAGAGGGAAGAGATGTTGTAAAAAGGTTCTCAAAGTCTAGGAAAAGGCAGTACGTTATGCCGATAGCCGACACGGATGTCAGTAGGCGCGGTCTATGTCCGATAACCACTGCATAGTCGGATGGTGCAGTTGACAGAAAGAACTCTCTGCAGAAACTGGCGGTGGATCCATGAGGTAGTTTAGATGACCGCGCCACTCCCCCGTCATCGTCCAACCGCATAGAGCATGTCGGCAAAACAGGTAAACGTCTTTCAGAAAAGCACTTTGTAAACCTGCGCGACCACCTTAGTTGGCCCTTTTATACTGTTATGGACACCATGTAAGAGGGACTCAAGAAGAAATGGCGAATAGTCATCCAGCACTCCAAAACAAGTTACATCGTCATGCAGGTGAAGCAGACAATGAACATTGTAAACAGTATCAGTAGGACCATACCAACAGGAAAATCTACAACAAAGCTATTCACCAGAACGAGGCCGTATTTTCCGCAAGATATTTGCGATGTGGAGTGGCAAAATATGTGCTCTGCCAGAGAAAATTATAAAATGTGTCGATAGCGGTCTTTGCGGAAAGGGGAGGGCAAAACAACAGGGCCGATATATAATAGAAGTACACTTTATTCTACAGCCCAATCGGTTTTCTACCACTTAATCCTTTAAGCCTCTCGCGCCCCCTCACCAGCCTCTGTCTTTGCCCTAGCCTACCTTCTTTCCCAGTTGGCTACCTTACCTGCAATAGCCCCGAAAACCCACTCGAACCCCGCGGATCTTGGGGTGATTATTAATGAGGCTTTGACAAGGCTTACGAGGTTTTTAACACCCTAGCTGCTCTGGCGTTAGTTGGTCTATTAATGCAGATACGGGCGTTTTGCAAAGAGTTCATTTTATTGAAGGAAATAGGCGTAAGCCTTTGAGTACTTTAGTTACGACGTAAAACTGGGTACGGTGCGCAGAGAAATTATTAGGGCTGAAATAATTTAAACCAGCCCATAATGACATGACAAAATAGGTGTGAGTCTCAGGGGATGATGTCGATCGCTCATTGCTCTTGCTGATTTCGGAATATAAATATATCAAGGTAGTTTTTGAAGTTTTGCATCTAGGGGAGCATCAAAACTTCTGCGAGGAGGGAATTTCATGGCTTGACCGCTCGGACAGTGTAGGAAAACTTCCGCACATCCAGTCTTGCCTGCTGAATACGTACTTTTAGCGGGTGACCTCGGAGATCGGTCGTGGTAGCGAATTCGAAAAAGCCCTCAAAGGCCAGGCTGATGTCCTATGCGGAATGCTTGTAAGAGTTCCCTGCGAAGATACCTATAACGCAACGGGAGGCGGTTCAGATTTACTAGGCTGGTTGCATAAGCAAAGGAGCTTTGAACCCTAACCATCTTCGTGGCTCTCTCTCCTGAATTATTTCGAGGTACTTTTGGTCTGGAACTGCCCACGGTCTCCAGGCTTGTAAGTTATATTTCGAGTGAGGCCGCACGAATGTTCCGAAAGTCATTGAGAAGGCATTTTCGTCGAAATCCATAAATGCACGCCTGATGGCGAACATTATGGACATTGCGCTTTTTACCACTTTCGAACCACGAGGCGATGGTTTTACAGAGTCTGTCGTCAACACCGAGGTCCTTTTGGGATTCGACCTCTTGTTATTCTGCACCACCCAGAAAGTAGTCTCTTGAGCTGGCGGATCTGGCTGTGTTGCCTAGGTGAAGTATGCTACACTTACCAACGTTAAATCGCAGGAACCAATGATATGACCACTCTTCGAACCGATTTAGGTTAATTAAAAGTCTGTCTTCGTCGGCAGACCTCCGAGCGGTAATGCAGAAAACTGATTCAGAACGCCGAATTGAGTAATTTGTCGACTAAGAGAAGGGGACAATGGACATGATAAACGACGTCAACACTATGGGAAAATCGGAAATAAATTATTTAGCACAATTCGGGAAAAATCACGCGGGGTAGGTACAAAGTTGACTAAGGAAATATATAAACAGCAACGGAGAACAATAAAATGGGATTATAACTGGAGCAATAGAGAAAAGGAGCTAAAACCGCAGGACCTATGTGCAGTAAAATCACCGGTATTCGGCGGCCTTCCAAAATTCAAGGCAGTCAAGATGTCTGCACTTGTGTGAAAATGCGGCAAGCAAGAATTGCCTACATTTCTTCATAAAGGCGTCAAGTTGGACAAATGGCTTATTGGGTCCCAGTCGCCACAAATGCAGAAACTTCCGCATAACACCCAGACAGACAAAGTGCATATAATCGATTGGAAAAGAAGCAACCACATCAAGGGGCAAGTCCTCGGACGGTAATCTGCACTTATGTTGCAGTGCCTGACTTTGCAATTTGAATAAACTGTCGGTCCGCAAGAGCCTACTGTTCGACTGTCATCCAGCTGGCAATACAGATGCCCACGCAACAACACCTGAAGAAATTGATATTGCCTTTGCGATATAACATTCCTGTCGCATCCGTAATATCAGCTTTCCCCTATCTGACATAAGACCGCATGGGCGTGTAAGAGACAAACCCACTAGTTGGGCACAGCGAGTAGGCTATCCAGGATACGAAAATAGCAGTGTCCCAACAGTTACAAACTAGTAAATAAGAACAAAGTCGTCGACAGGTAAAAGTGCACGTGCGTGTTGTTTGTCTTATTCCAAGTTGTCTCGAAGCGTATTGTAACTGATTAAAACAAAACAGACTTAAATGTCACTACAGGCGTGTCGCACGCGATATTATCCCGAACAACACTGACGAGATCATCCTATGGTGAAAGACGCAGCTCACTGGTTATAAGGTCCTTCAGTTCAGTCACGCAGTCGTCCTGGATGTCATATAAGGGGGGACTTGCCAGAACAATACAACGACAAAGAAGGGGTGTTCAACAATCTGACAACTAATAAACCAAGTACGGGCCACAGAAATTGACGGGAACCATTAAAATCTTCATCTCGTCAGTGTTCAATTGAACGTTTATTTCCCGAAGTTTCGCTGCCGACCGACGGTGCAGCTCGCCGAGCAGACCTCGTCCATAACCCAAGTGGACATAGCATCCGTTCTTTTGAGGCTCGCTTATGACTGAAAGTGGGGTTTTCAACTGCGTGCGCGGGTCCGTGGGCACCTCTGGATTGTAGGAGCACAACATATTTAACAGCTTCATCGTTACGAACAGTGGCAGTTGCGCATAAAGACATAGTTCTTGCAAATCTGCTAGAAGACAGTTGTCTCAAGACAGCGTTTGTGCTTCGCGCCTCCCCACATAACTCCGTCGTCATTATTTGGTTACACAGGTAAAAACCTACCCGTAGGAACTGCTGAACTCAATATATTCATTTGCCTTTCTGACGATTGACCTTCTACCATGGGTGATGTTGATGGCACCGAGCATTCAAGTTCGGAAACGGTGGCGTAGTATGCATGCATGTCCCGCTTAATTCGCTTATATATATAGCTCCGGGAGTATCCATAGCAGTTACGCTTCATATTTACTTTCCGTGGGCTGCAAAATTGTATAGGTTGGGTAGGCGTGAAACATCAACAGTCAGTCCGCTTGGTGAGATGCCGTTAAGTTAATGAAAATAATCGGTCCCCATGTATTTTAAAATTAGCAAGTCATAACCAAAATCATCGTCTGTAAACACAAAACGCGTCGAAAGGATTTGGCTTAACGTACCTCTGTTGCAAACACTTCTCGGCACAATTACAAAGCTGGAGAACGCAGGTCGGTCAGCACGTAAGCGTTCTCCACGTGATCCACTTAAACAAAGCAAAGCATTTATTTGGCAATGGGTAGGTCACTCATATACGCTTCAGCAACAAATATTCTTTTTAATTAAATCTAAATAGTATATTTTTGTGGCAAAGTAGCCTCATTTACGCGGTATATTTCCTTTCAAATATTAATGAAGTGTGTGTTAATTCGTGATAGGGGCATAGCCCTGACTAGCCTCCTATCAGCCACCCCACCCACGCTACTGAGAGGCCGCGTGCTGACAAGCATATCCCTGCTCTTAATTTCATTATATTCAAACATCTGAAAACTATATCCCTACATCTTTTGAGTTCCCCCACAGCATTTCCTTGCTGATCCTCCATATGGAAGCATTGGCACTTATTCGTCAAATAACAGTAATATTATGATGGCATGCTCACGCCAATTTCCCTTAATACACTAAAATGAACTGAAAAGCAATCGGTGACTGGATGCTAGTGCTAGACCATCAGCTCCTAAGTAAAACGAAAATGTTCGTTTCCTTCCTTGCTCCATTCCTTCCATTCTCTCTTCCTTTCCTTAGATTCCTCCTCTCGAATAATTAGGCCTCCTTGACCCAACGTCCTTTAGTGTGCCCGTCATATGCGCGCGCAAAAGGAAACCGGCGAGTCAAATGTTTGAGCACGGAGAGCTGTGTAAGGACCAGACGATCGACCTACTTTTTTGCCTTCTGAAGAGCGACTGCTGTCAGAAAGTATGTTTTTTGTATGTATCATTGCGCCAGTTGAGAAAGACCCCACGCGAGTGCTTGGAGAAAGACTACTTCCCCGCCGAGTGTGCGGTTGTGAGACACAACTTCGATCGCTGTAGAGCGGAAATTGTAAGAATTAAGAATTGCAATCTATCTTGCTAGCTGGACAAACGTACTAGACTGCGAGGGAGGCGTTTCGAAGACTCAGATTAACAATGGCCGTATTCGTTACGGTGGGTACCACGTCTTTTGATGAATTAATTGAGAAAGTGAATTCCTTTGCATTTCACTCCGCCATTATGCGTCTGGGTTATGATACGTTGTTCGTACAATACGGTAACGGTTCTATCGAGCCTTCCACCGACTCCCTGGATCCCAGCAATGCGGATTTTTTGGAGTGCAGACAGTCAAATTCAATACTGAAAGTGCACGCTTTTCGATACCATGATAATCTTGGCGAATTTTTCTCCCGTTGTGAGCTTGTAATCAGCCATGGCGGTGCTGGCACCTGTCTTGAGTCTCTTACACCCCCTGGAAGACGGAAGCTCGTTATTGTCATAAATGAGGCCCTCATGCACAACCACCAGTTGGAATTGGCCGCTGCCTTATACATGCGCAAACACGCCTTTGTCACAAGGCCCAGCGATCTCATCAGTTTCTTAATGACAGGCCAGCAGCGCATATTCCCCGAGTTACCGGTAAGCCAAGGAGCCACACGCCCGTTTTCTTCCTTTCTATTTTGCCCTTGAACGCCACCGCATTTGACCAAAAGACCACCTGATTGTATAGACTCAGCGCAGCTTCTAAATCCTAGCTATTTTGTTTCGTACAAGCAATTGACTCCAGTGCGAGTTCGTGGACGTGTTTCCTATCATATCTTAGAAGTGCTGCTACAGTATTCGAAATTACCCGATGTCCATAATCTACAAACACCTACTCTCTAAGGTGTGCATAACTACATTTTTTGCGCATACATAACTGCTTCGGCCTCCTTAGTATCGCAAATTTATTGCACCACCAATGATCATGTTTTACTGCAGTTGGTTTGATGCCCAGGAGCTTACATAATCAGATATTCAGGAACATGTGCAAGTTGGGATTCCTGTCCGTCTTATCGACCCTCAGGTGACATCCAACCCTCAAAAAGCGATTAATGGTCGCCATGTCACGATGTTGACATGCAGTCCACGGCATTGTATGCAATAGGCCAGGAATCGACTCATCCCCCTGTTGACGCTACTACTTGCCTGCAGCCGTCGTTTCTCCAGATACAAGTCTACTTATTACCCAGCTGGCTCTTGTTGAAGATTCTTTGCTCTAATCACCATAGAATCTGCGCATTTCGCAGCTTAATCGATAGGCAGGCACCAACTTCCAAGTGACCGGGCAAGACATTTCTGTTTGCCAGCAGGCTTTTCAGTAAAGTCGTTTTTGTGATTGGGAGATGCAAACACCGTCTACTGTTCTTCCGTCAGCGTTTTTAAGGGCGAATATTGTTCTTGCGCGTGCTCGTCTTCCTTCTAGAAGACGGACCCACCTGTTAACTTAGCCAGCTATCGGGTGTGTTCATGGCTGGCGAATGGTGGGACGGCCGATAGTAAAGGTTAACCATGCACCAAATAGGCTCTTGGACCTTTTGAATAAGCAGTCTCGGGCCAACCACGACAACAGTGCTACCAGGCCGCAGACAGCCAAAGTCCAACACTCAGACCGCCTAATGAAATAGCACAAAACCCAATTAGCGTACTGTGATATGGTTACCGCGAACTGCCATTAAATAAGTTTGTCGCCGCTACCTAACAATTGGTTTGGAGAGACAACCTCGAACAAATGGTCGCAACGGTCTTCGAGGTCTCGCCTGTATTCAACGTCTATTAGAAACCTTGTGGACATGTTTAGTCCAAGTATTATCCCTCATCCAATGACGTCCGTGGAAACCGAGGCGCGCAACGACTCTGGTCCCGTGGTTTAGACGAATAATGTGCAGGCTGGACTACTTAGTCGAGAATGGGTCCCTAATATTGGATTATGGAGTTTACAAACGTTCCTGTACTCCGATACACAGTCTGATGCTGAACAGTCTTCACCAGCACAGCAGGGATGTATGCTACCTCTCCGATGTCAACTTTATCGTAGCGGTCAGCCTGGCCCTTAAGGTAGACACAATTTGCCGATCATCCTCGCATCAGGGGAATCATGCATTGCTTACGTAGGGGACCAGTCAGTGATCGATTGGTTTACGTACAACGGAAGGTGTCCTCTTCTAACATCTGCCGTGTCCGTTCATCGTCAGACCTCATATGCCAACCAGCACAATAAGGAGCCCTTGCGCTGCTTGAAAGACTCTCTTGCCGTGTTTGAGGGACAGTAATGGCCGGACTGTAATCTCGGTTCTCTGTGTGGCAGTTTTGAAATAACGTTGAGCTTTACTGGCCAGAATCAACTGGTTATTACTAACACGGGCTTTCAGCATCACTACAAACATTCGTCAACCTGGTATTTGAAAGCTGATCCTACGGCCATTGAGAATGACTTCATTTTGGTCTTCTCAAGGCTCCATGGCTAAGTTCATGGTAGCAAATCTATTCACGGTGCCGAAACTGCAACGTATATGCGTTAGACCATGTCCTCGTTCGCTCTAGAAGTTTGCTCTCCATCCGCTCCAATGCTATCTCATGCAAAAATCTTCGGGGTCACAAAACCACGATGACCAAAACTTTGAACCCGCAAATTCAGCCTCGCTTTGCAGTCAGAGTGGAAGTGGTCATCCTTAAATTTTTCAGTCCACCAGTCGGCCGAAAGAATTCACCAATTCCATTATTATTATTCCAGTAGTGCTGCAGTGGCTGGATCAACTCAGGTAACTTGAGTTTATTCGGCCTAGTGAATGTGTCAATCAACTTGCGTCCACCTCAGCCTCTCTTGCACATGTTTTCGGCTCCTGAAGAAGGCATCCTGGTGTAGTCTGTCCTCGCACAGGCAACCTAATCCATCCATCATCATTGAGGTGGTCTTTGTGCTGTCGGCGTCCGAATCTATGAACTGCCAAGAGGGCGGCATGGATATCATCCTGTAGCTCCTTTCATTTGATTTCAACAGTATTCTCCTCCTGGACTCTTCTCTGCCTCGCATTGGTGTTCATTCTGTTGGTGAGATTCAGCCTGTTTTCAACTACATGCACTACTGTGGTTGTAAACTTACTCGGTCCTTCCTTGCCTTGGAGCTGACTGCGGAGTTGAAATTTCATACTTATTTCCAGGCCGGCATTGCGTTGATCACGTCTTTTGTTTAAAACTCAATCAATCGGATACCGCAGGTGCTAGCCAGGATGTATCTTCATTGTTTTCATCCGGTTTTAAGGGCGAACGACGCCGTTGACAAGAAAGTAGTGTTGTCTGACTGCATGTGACCAAAGGGGTCCGTTGCTATTACAGCTGGCTAGTCCGCTTCCATCTAGCACTACCCTCCAAGTAACATGAGTTGTGCCTATTTGGACACAGAAGTTATGAAGACCAGCCAATTTACTCGCCGAGAGGGCGTGCTGAATTTGCCCTTTAGGTCTTCATGACTTGCCACTGTAGGCGCACGAGCGCCATCTCTGGTAATGACTTCCACTCCGCGGAATGTGCGCCTAATTGTCATTAGGCGATCGTTTAATCTCCGTGCGAGGGTGGACGAGTCACTTCACTATGTGGGGGATGGTCGAGACTGTCCCAGCATTTCCTTGCGCCTTCTTTGGACGTTTGCATTAAAGGATGGTGTACCTCGCACCTACCTTGTTTAGTTCCCCATGTTCGGGTAGGCTGGGTTCTCTAAAAGCCGTAATGCACAACTTGTATGGAGAGAACTCGCAGATGACGGGGTGATCCTTCTGTTCGGTTGGGAAAAGAGACGGGTCTGCAGTCACATTATGTAAAAGGCTTCATAAAGGCCCTGCTGGAAAATGGCCTTTTAAGTCTGACTCACAGGTCCGAGTATAACCGGAGCATCCTGTCAGTTTGCAATTCCTCAAGCGACGACTGTTAGTTCGGACCAGCTGAAGGGCCCGTTTAATTGTTTATAATGAGGAACCTAGGAGCTGGCTTGACTTCTGTAACTTTCCGTTCCCATGTAAATGGCTTAAATGAATAAAGCCGACCCTTGATGAGATTGGGTGCACTGGCTGCCATTACATTAAGTCGTCGTTTATTAGTGCACATGTTGTCCACTCATTCCACACTGACTGAATTTATGGGAACTCAGATCTCGCATAACGTGTACATAAACCTACTTCTATCAACTACTTCACCCATCATTGCGACGTCGACATGTGACTTCGTATGATTGCTACATAAATAGTGTGCCGCTCTGTTTGTCTTGGACGTTTATACGCACATGGTCAGATGCGCCCATACACCGAGTGTATGTTGATAGTGTGATGGTCCGTGCCTCCACCTCCCGTCGTCTTGATCTTTCTTCTCATCGGACCAAGGTATGTTAGGGGTGAAGGAGAGAACGGTAGATGCTGCGCTGCCCTGCTTCACATTGAATAAATAAACGTGCAAGCCACCCTTGCCGGGCCCACTCTGCAAAGTACGCGGTTGCCGCCGTCGCTTACGACGATTCAACTATCGCTGTAAAAAGCTCCAACTGTGCTGTATGATTGGATGGGTCAGTGCGATGGTTGAGTGTTCTTGGACAACCTGGGCAGATAAGGTGGACATGACGGACCTTATCCGGGATCCCGGAGCGCATTCTCCCAGATTAGAATGCAGTCACGGACGGCCGACCAGGCAGATGCGCGCTTCGAATGTGCCTTTTGACACCATGTGTGGTTTCTTTTGTGTCCCGACGACGCTTCTGTTTTGCTGAGTATGATGCCAGCTATAGAGATTTGCAACTGGAACGTAATTGCGTTGAATACCGATGGCGCAATACCGCCAATGATGATGGTGGAAATATTTTATGGCAGTCGCTTTGACATCACGGTGGATCCGATGATGTCTATACGACTTAATCCATTCCCGTAACGTCATTAGATAATTAAGGCGTTAGGCAGCAGTTTACGATGACGTCTTACGTGCACCAGTCGTCGTCTTGACCTCAAAACCGCTGCTCCACTTTTTACGGCAATATGCCAAGCTTTTCGGCCGTGCGTCAGGTCTCCTGGTGGATTTTTAGGTGCCCGAGCGCAGTCTTTAAAATTTCCTTGTGTCACAGCCCTTGCCCACCTTCTCAGCGAGCACCCACAATGACCACCTTGGAATAGTCGCATAGCCAGCCATCCTCACCAAGTGGACATTCCACCGCGGTTAGACCTGCCATATAGGCGTTGCACGACCGACATTACCAGGACCTGCGCGTTTGGGACCCTTCATCCTTGGTCTTCTCCAGGATCTGTGTTCCAAATTTCTTGCCCGTTTACGTCTTCGTCCAGCCAGAAAATGTTATTGGGACGACAGCCCAGTACACCCCCTCAGTTTTGTCATTGACTTTGCAAATTCGGGTTGTGGTTTAGACCCATTGATTTTGCAGTTTCATTATGTAGTGCTTGCCATAAACGCGAATTTGCTCACGCCCATGAAGTGATTTCCACTGGCACTTACCATGAGTTCCTTGTACTCCTCAGTTGGCTCTGGTTAGTACCTCTCACCGGTTGTCAATATGAATTCGAACTAACTGAAGACAATGAGGTCAATGCCCCGCAGTATGTCCATTTCGGTTGTCTTGCTTACTGCACAATCGCCCTAGAGTAAGAGGTCGTGACTACTTGCATCTATCAGCATTCAACACTTAACATGTTTTCTATAGCAGTCCTTTCAAAAAGAGTTTCTCCTTTCAGAAAGAGCTTTCAGCCGACGTTGATGTGAAAACTCTTTTGGGCCCGTCTTCACCAGAGAGCGTAGGACTCGTACCTTTCCACCGAGGCGATCGCAGACGTCTTCTACAGTACCTTGACGAAATCCTTGGACTTGTCCATGAGTAATTATTGGATTGTCATTCGGCTGTGCTTTGACCCCCCCGTCTGTGTATGCCTGCCTCCCACTTTCTTCACAACTTTTGTATCTGCCTGCACTTTTCTATAAAGATTTTAACAGACCGAGGGTGCCTGCTGCTCCTTTGCACAAAGTCATTATTGGGTCAGCGAGCGCGATCGTCTGCCACAAAATATGTACTTCCCAGGTCTCATTTGGGAAACATTATGGAGGAAAACTTCCAAATTTTGTCGCACTTTTTTATTCATGCCATTACAAGCGCAGAAAAATTTACAAGAATCCATGCAGTTTTCTAGTAAGTCACATAAAAGATATTTGTAGTGAAAAATTCCCGACGACATACACGCGCTCCTTTTAAACAGTCAATCATAGTTATTCTAAAAAAAACTGAATAGTGTGGGATTGTCGACAATTTCGCATGGTTTTTGTCGGGGCCTTGGTTTCGCGCACAACCCTTGCACGCGCAATCTGGAGGGAAGAGCAATCCATCTGATTCCCCATGTCTAATTGTCACTGGATTGAACACCCCTTGTTCTTCTGTAGGGGAGCCTTTTTTGGCGCAAGGTCGAATTGCAGGGCTCGTCGCCTATTACCTAGAAAGTAATAAGGACTTTGCGCAAATAAGACAGTTCGAACTGTATCCATGAATGTTGATTGCCTTCGAAAATGCCGCATAATTCGCTTGATCAAGACTGAATTCGTTGCATGTGCAAAGAAAGGCAGCAACAGTATGTCTGTTATCGTGGGCTCTAGGGGTGAATTGCTACCTGTTAGACAAACGCGTGTATTTTGTGTCGAGGGTTCGGTCACTTTCGGCACCTACCCGATGCTCAACTTATAGCGAATAGTGGGAGTCAAGGGTCTCCGTTCGTTCGGACAAGACACCTGGTCAATACAAGGCAATGATTGACATTGTACCAGCGAGGTACACATATTACTGCGTACCTTGATGCGGCTGTGCTGAGAAACCTGCTCGGAGGGATTTGCCCGTACCGTATTTTACGGGCGTGGAATTGACTACCTTCCCCGCTGGCACGCAATAGCTGATCGAATCCCGCGCTGCTGAACTAATTAGTCAGAGGTATTAGGTTATTCCCGATCCTGCCACTGAGCAATAATTGATAAGAAAGCAGTAAACCAAAGTCAATTAAACAGCTAATGTGCGGGCGGCGATGACTCCAACTCAACTGTGGTCAATGGTTCCAAGAATAGCGCGCGACTGACCTGTTAGCCGTCGGGTAGGGCTACCTTAAAGTTCCCTAGTGAGACGAGTTTTTAGCCCACACTTGCGCATCTCATGCGAGGAAGTTTTGCAGTGATGTGATTGTTCTCCATTGTGATCCCATGGTGAAAAGTGAGCGGCCGATAGAATGTCGCCCGCAAGGGTTAGGTTTTGCGCCTTAAAGGCACTTCAGACTTCGTTGTCATCGTCTCTGGGTCAAGAGGTGTAGGTGGGCGTAGAATGCAGAGATATTTATTGACCAACTAGTTCTCCGGTAAAGCGCGCTCTCGAGACGCCGCCGTCTAGATACTGGCGGTGATTTGTTGACTGCCTTGTACAGCAAGTAGACTAGCTCCATCATCGAATTGTGCTATGCTCGGACGGAGTGGAGGGCATCCACAGACAATAAAACAGAAGTTATTGTTGACTGCTGCCTTCTATACATTTGTATCCGGTCATTTGTATCACCAGAGACTTTTCCGGTCGCACTTGGTCAGGCTCGTGGAATAAGCCTAAAGCGTCTAGCATTTGCCATCTGGCGGTGTGTCTCATTCTGCGATAACCTTACCGCTTCTGCGGAGTCCACTCTTGGAGCCTATTCTATCCACGCTCGGCAGAGCCCTTCCGTGCAGTGCTGCTCTTACGACAATGTGTCTGAAATTCAGTTCAGAAAGAAATAACGACATGGTTTGGAAGACCGAGCTTACCCTCTATGTAGATTTCTCGATGAAATGCTCCGGCTGAAAGGGCGATGCTAAAGGGGAAAGTTCGAATAGCCGAATTTAGACGTACTAAAAACAACGGGGCAAATTAAATCTTACCCCCAGAGACTTGGATTTGTCCTTCTCTGCCTATTTCACAGAATTTATTACTTCCAGATTGCCGTAGGATTGAAAAGGCAGTTGTGAGCTAAAATTTCATGATGGCGAAATTCCTTATAGTCAGTCAGCCATTTGGGGCGGGTCGCGTCATTCTCAGTTGCACTAAGCTCTTCCTTTTATAAAGCTCTGTAATCTAAACCCCATCGAATATACCTGGCTAGCTTTTGTCGAGCGGTGCTCAGAGCGAGGCGGTGAACTATGCGTTAGAAGACGGTACATCGGAGTTCCATTAATCCACGCAGAAGGCCGTCTTCCGGGATGAGCATATTGTGGTCTGCCGGAGGCTATTGAGTAGGCGCACACAGCATAGTATCACGGGGCTGCTGGCGGCTAGGATTCGCCGTTAGTATGTGATTTCCTACTGGTTCAAATGCAAGGACTGAGGTGGCCATTTAGGGCTGATTGGTCGTCCTCCACCAGCCGTACCCCAACCACTAGCAAAGAAGGCTGGGGGGTTGAATCCAGATTTCCACCTGGCAAACCTGCTTGCCCGTCCGCAGCGGTCGGAACTAGCACAAATTACTCGAAGATGGGATCCACGAAGGTGTTCTTGTTACAGGAGCTTTGATAAGTCATTACAGGCAGTCGCTATCTATGAGCGGTCGGTAGTAGGGAGTATTACCTACGGTCAAAGGACACTGACGGCAAGCCCTTTGATTCGTCGCCGTCGTCTCGAATTTGAAAACCAATTCTCCGACCGTGTTTACTACTGTTTTTTGAGACGAGCGAAGACGCCTCAAACGATCGTATTAGCGAGTCAAATTACTGAGTAAACATCACGCCAGTAATTAAGAATGCTGATGGAATTGCGGCAACTAACGCCATAGATTGCAGGCGAACAAGCACCCATCGCATCAATTACGACCGCAGCAATGAATGTGGGAGTTGCTAATTACGATAAGCCCGTGGTCGCGTAGCAACAGCGTCATGTACACACTGCACTCATGCGTTCACCAGTCTTATCTCTATCTGTCTGATGGCGGGATTGAGTGAGAATCCGAGTCGTCAGACGAATAAAATTCATCCCATCGATTAAATCTCTTTCTAGTTCGTCGCCACGCACTCAGTAACCGACTCAGAAATATGCCTAATTTTCCTCAGAATGTTTCCTATCTTTCTGACCTCGTATCATGAATAAGTTGTCATTGAGTTGTAACCTTTCTCGAATGAGGACAAGCATAACAGTGAAGCATAAGAGGGGTCAACCATAATAGGGGTTTGCACCTACTTGTCTCGCCCAGGTTTCAGGCTGACAGCGAAGATTGCATACACCGGTCGGTGATCAGAGCATCGTACCTTGGTTATCGAATCATATGTGATGCAAGTGACATCCTCGTTCCTCTTCGATCTGTACAGAATGCGATCCTTAAAGGCATAAACCAAAGATTTATGCAATGTCAACCGGTCACAGCTGGAGACTGCGATCTTTCAGGGATGCTGGTAACGATATAGAACAGATACTAGACAGTGCTGTCCCTGACTAACGACCAGAGTCAACTCTGATGCCAAAAGCTACAAACATACAATGATGAAAAATAAAATCGATTAGCCTTCCTACAAAAGTCGCGACTAGTTTGTAGAGGAATGAACACCGACAAGGAGATGTTAAGAAAATGGGCAATAACTGGTCATGTCTTTGCCTCGTTTGACTTGCTACTGGCTACGTCGCTAACTTAGAATACTACTCATGCTGCATGAATTACCAGGTCTGCATTAATAAAAGACCACTGTAACAAAGTGTGCTGTGGCCTTCGTGCTTTAGAAGTCCGAAGATGTGGGGAATCCTATCCTCAATTTTCATTCTATTTGGAGAAAAGAGGTATGAGGTGAAGTTCTTAATGTGGCCCACTGCCTAAAACTGTACTCGAACAGGGTATTTAGGTCTAATCTTTGAAAATAATTGTCAAACTGTGGCGGCCAATCGACTCGGCTGCCTCACAAGTTTGGCGGCGACGGACACAGGTCAAAGTATGTTGGGAAGTTGATTCGGAGGGCAAGATGGAAAGGAAAGGCTGAGATTGAATTTGAGTACCAAAGACGATATGTAGGTAAGGGTTGCCGGCAAAGACAAGGGAGGCTGGGATGGCTATTTCCGGCTAATTAGCCGCCCCATTGTGCCCTGCGGCTCAGCGTGGTACCCCGCCAGCAAACCCACGGCGGTTAGCAGTGTATGTAGATAAGTAGCTACCGACAAAGACAAGGGAGGCCGGAATGATCATTCCTGAACTGTTTGCCTTCATCAGCCAGCCATGCACAACCTCGGGTTCTGCGACCCCTAAGGCTCGAACCCGTGTTATTCGGTCATCGAGCATCAGTAAATGCACCGCAAAGAGAGAAATGTCAAAAATTACCAGTTTGACCGAGTCACTCAATTTTTCCGAAACCAGACTTTCTACTATCACAATCACGAGGTGTGCGTTTTCCATCGGTTTATTGTCTCTATGCGTCAGTACATAATATGGGGATGTTTTGGATGTGCGTTATTTTCTGAAAGGACAGTTTGCAATCCGTCCATTTGCCAAAGGCAAAATTTTCTGTCCATTCAATGCACTACGTGGGAGAGGAAAGTGACATTTTACAATAACTCGTCGGTAAAGGGAACACGACATTGCGAAAAAGGTCACTCGGCGACATGCTTTATTATCGTCTCGGATAACCAAAAAAGCGCAGTCTACACCGACGGGTTGGCTTAAATTTGACTCGAGTATATTACCCGAAAAAAAGTAAGGCTATTGTTGGCAGTCGGTCAGTTTTCTGGAAGCTTTGGCCATCACGTTTTCAGGAAAATCGTTATACTTTAAGGACACCCAACTTTTTCGTTCTACCCATGTTGGGTTTGCAGACTGAAAACTCCATCAAAAAGGACAGCCTCATATGATTCCCCATAGGAGGCAAGACTTGACTTATTGTGATAAAACTGGAAACTAATCATTCATAACGCACTATCAGTAGACCTAATCCGACACCCTCGAGTAAAACCGCCTTACGAGACCTTTTAACGTCCACTCCGGCATACGTCGTGGTTGCCTGTTCATACTTCCTCTCTAAAATGTTTGCTGGATATTCTATATGACACTTAAGGGCTTTCACGTCGTCTAGCCGTCACTATTATTTAGCCTTAAGAACCAAAACGCCACCGTTGAATCGATGTTATTGCTCTCTACATGTATCTAAAAATTGTTATCGGCAGTATGATCAAGATCCTTAAACCCGTCTGTCAAACGACCAACCTTAGAGAGACTAAGATTTTTTCTGCTTGTATTCCTAGTTTAGATAGACCAATTAGATTCCTTGAGAAAACTTAAGTAGAGCCATTTCGGATGCCTTGGAATTCTCTTCCAAGTCGACAGAGCAATAGCAAGCGGAGTACTTCGAGTCTTCACCAGCCGTCATTAGACAAGCGCCGCCATAAACTATCAGCTTCACAAGATTTCTGTGCAAATTCCATAAAGATGCGGACTTGCATAAATAAGACTGGCGGAAAGCGAAATGTAGAAGCGTTCCTCCACCTCAATTGTACATTTATCCTACGAAAAAATACAGTTTTGTCCCACTGAGGTTATTCAAAAGAAGGCCCAGGTTGTTCTAGAGCTATGCCATGCCTTTTGGGGACAACCGAATGGCGTCGTCTCGATGCGAGCTATCCATGACCTTAACGAGAACGCAAAAGGCTTTATAGTGGGAACTTCAGAACTTTGTTCGATACTGTTCACGAAGGTTTTCGAAGAGTACCAATTGCAGTATTTGAGGATGGGAAAACTATTTGGAGGTCCTCCGAGAACTAGTCGCAAATAGTTGAACGTCGAGGAACCTCACCGGCGAGAATACTAAGGAGAGGCGCATCAGTACCGACAAGGAAAGCTATATGGGCGAGTGGACAGGTATATGCAACAAGAGTGCCATCTGAATTCTGAGTAAAACAAAAATTGTCTGTATAATAAGGCCCACTGTATATGATTAATGAACTTTAGACTCCAGTGCTTTTTTAAAGTTTGATATCGCACGATCTGGAGTCCCAGGACCACGGAGATCATTCGGAAACGTCCCCTGAGTTTATACGCGCAGTTGCAGTCAGTCCACTAGAGGTCTACTTTGAGACAGTGTCTTAAGGCAAGTGTTTTAAACTTGCTGAGCGTAAAGTCGTGGCCGGTTTTTAAAACAGTACTTAGTGATATATGATGTCAAGAAAAGATTACCGTGTAAGAGGGAACACGCTGTTTCTCCGAGGAATCGTAGGAGTCTGAATTTATGTCGAACTTGAAAGTTGGTAGAAAGCTTATTTCTCCTTCTTCAAAGCCTTCGAAGATTTGACCTTCAAAAAAACCAGTAACAAATCAAAGTTCGGTTGGGATGACATTCAGTAATTTATGCTGATGCAGTGGAGCAGTGCAAACGATCACAATTCGCCTATTATCGCCAGGTTAGAGTGCACCGACAGCAATGAGTAGTCGGTAATCCGCAAGCGTTATCAAGGGACACTGGAGTACCCTTTCCAGTTCCTTTGTCCTCGCCAACCAGAGTGCCCCAACGTCCGACTGGGGGTGATCCAAATTGAAACGCGTGATGTTTGACTTTGGGCTCAGTCTCTCTTGGAGTATTCTTGAGCCAATGGGTAGATGATGAAGTGGTCATAGTGTCCGAGTTGGGGAAGAAAGTTGCACAAGATAATTCTAGTCTGTTTGAGCCGCAGCTCTGCTGAACTTCTCGGTATCACCTAGTCAGTGTGCTCAGGAACCAGACTCAGTGCGAACTGATGCGCTACCTAAGGGATTATGGGGGGTTAACCATCGCGTTCCACGTTAACAGTCAAGCACGTTATGGATGCATGAGACAGGAAAACCACTTCACCGAAATAATGAGGTGTTTTGGGCAGTAAAATAATTCACGCATGGAAGAGAATATGCGAATCCCAGGTTCTTGTTTAAAAGACGAAGGCACGATCACTGGGACGGTATCTCCGGCATCTCCGGGGCCAATTAACAAAGAACGGCTACCCAAATAGTTTTATCAGTCGCTGAATGCGCACGCAACCGCGACGGACAAACGGAAGAGAGACACCAACAATTTGGCACTCCCTACCGTACATAAAGAGTGTGTCCGAGGCTATAGAACGCATTGCGTCAGATCTAGGCGTGGGCGTCACTCATCATCCGGCAGCTACCATGCGTAGTGGGATCATGAAAATAAAGGATCGGCTGGACGTAGATGAGCAGTCGGACGTAGTCTATCGAATCCCCTGCTATAACTGTCCTTGCTACTACACAGGCCAAACAGGGCGTCTTAGCTCACGAATACTTGAGCACAAACGGGCCGCTCGAAGAGGCGACCCGCTATCTCAAGGCGCCGCACACACGCTTGAGAAACACCACGAACTCGATTTCGCCAACAAGCGGATATTGGCGCGAGTCGGCAACAAGACCGGGCGAGAACTGTTGGAAGCGTGGGTGTCGGACATCAACTCTCTCAATAGACACATTGATTTGCCTGCTTGTTATCACGCTCCCCTCCCACGCAGCCAGGTGGCGCAGCTCACATCGTCGCGAAGTACAAACGCCGTCACCACGCCGGGGACCATCGTGGACCAGGCGGCACAAACCAGACCTAGCCACGGACGTAGTCCCCCTCCGCACGGAACAACGATATAAGTGTTTACACGTTGCTGCACTCCAGCAGTCTCTGATGATGCACTCCAGTTCGAGTTCGAAAGCTAAGGCCATTAAATCTACCGTCCCAGTGCCTTTATCTTCCTTTAAAGCAAAATGAGTATACAATAATACCTCCTGAAAGATATTTCTGTTGACAAAAAAGCGGGAGAAGCCCAAATAGGCTGGTGAGGCGATAGCGTGGACGAAAATGAAAAGTCGTCCCCTTCTAAGAAGTTGCATCAGATGCAGGGGGAGTCTGTGCCCGGGGCACAACAAGGGAGTCAGCGGCTATCACTACCCTCCAAACATAAGCCCTTGATCCCTAGCCAAATTAAGTTTGGTGCGACCACCGAGATTGCGCGCATCAAAGTGGGACAAAAAGTTTTCAAGAAAATGTAAAGCAGCAGCAAAAGTGAGCGAACTTGCCAATGACTGACATTTGTTTTGAAATCATTTTGCTATGACTGCAGGGGAACCCGCAAACCCAGAGCATGCACTCGCGGAGTGGGCATCACTGGTGTCACGTAGTCAGATAGTCGGGCTCCCGCATTCAAGCAAATAGTTAAAGTAGAGCCCCATAGAAAATACAGTTAGCGATCATTTTGTTCATACTTCTAGTGTGATGAATCCAGTTAGAATTCCGAATTTGCTTGATTAAAGACAATTGGCCCTCCGGCCCCATCACTGCTGGAAACCCAGTCAAACTACTAATATACTATGGCAACTTACCGGTCTGCATTGCTGTTCGAAGTTCATCCGCTTCGAGAAGAGATTTCACATGTCGCGCCGCGTTCGGACAAGCGAGGAGCTGGTCTACTTCTGCGCGAGTCTTTTTGACACGAAAATTCAGATCACCAACCCAGAAGACGTGGTCGAATCGGTCCATCGGGTTCGCGCCTTTTGAAAAGTGAGAAATTTTTTGTCATCACGGTCTGCTACTGTTAAAATTTCTTCTGTCATGCATGACACAACGCTCGTAATAAACAAAAACACATTAGAAATGGCGTTAAGAGGACATTGAGTAGGCCATTGTCGGGATGGAGGGAACTGTAATGACGATAGATCGGGCTATTTTAACGAAGTTACAATATATATTGTCAGACCAGAAGAAATTTAGGAGAGCAGACAAGTAAAAGAACTGCACGCATTAATTAGAGGCCCAACTGACCGACGACCTAACGAAACTCCACGCAGGGGGTTTCGTAAGCGACATTGACCTCGAAAATCTCCGACCAGTGTCCGCTCACATCTCTCGATTGTATGACCTGCCGAGGGCTCACAAGGACGGCCTGCCAGCTCGTCCGATTTGGCAAATGCGCCACTTTTTACCATGCAATAGCCAGGCTTTTAGGAGAGACACTCAAATCCGGACAGCATTAACAGCACCACGTAGCTATCGGGACACCGACAGGGCAACGGGCTCGTGGCCCGGTGAGTAGAGGCGTTGGCTTCTAAACCAACAGGTCGCGAGTTCGACGCTCGGGTGTTCCACACTTCGGGCTTGGGTATGGGTGGCTGACGACGGCTAATAAGCCACAAATGGCCATTCCAGTCTCCCCTGTCTTTGTCGGTAATATCATTCTACTTTCGAATTTATTAACGATGTCAAGGATCCGAACCTAGGCGGAATGCAGATGATTTCGATCGACGTCTTATCAGTCTTCACAAACGTCCGGGACATGGAAACGATCGAGTAAGTCTGCGAATGTGTAGCGGTCAGTCAGCAGGAAACAGGAATACCGACAAGCTCACGCAAGCAACCATTACTAAGATGCAGAATAAGTGAGTAGCTCTGTTTTACAACCAACTGTACGGACAAGTAGACGGCGTTGGTATGGGCTCGCCTCCTGGTCCCCTCTTAACCGAAGTCTTCATGGGAAAGTTGGGGAAATTTTGACTAAACGACTAGGTGCATAAACTAAGACATTACGGTTTTGATTTCTGTACAGATGTCACTGCAGAAATCAGCATGGCTGTTCTATTAGAAGATATGCATCAGGCATACCAATCGATCCAGTAAACGTTGAAGGTGGAAACGGCAGGTTATCGCACTTTCATGAAGATTCTAGGCAAAAGAACTGACGGTAGCGTTAGAAGGAGTGTTTATTGGAAAAACTCGGTCTGGAAAATATACGAACTTCTTCAGTAACATACCCCCTCGAGGCTGTTATTTGCTGAAAGGGCTAGAAAAATCCGTTCGGTAGACAGCATCGATAAGTAAATGAGAGACATCCAAGAAAACGACCATTCTGGCAGTTTCATTGCAAAGACTATTTCCGAGCGACTTGCAACAGGACCCATCAGACTGACGGCGGAAAGGGAAGATCTGCTTTTCAAATTCCCTTTTCGAGGGACACAGTAAATGAACTCCTGAGAAGAAGCCCTAGCTAGGCTGTATCTCTGACCTTCAATTATTATTCTCAACCAACCCTGTTTTCCTCAGAGAGGGTAGGGATAGACTACCAGTCCAGATAATCTCTATGTGCATTTACTCCTTTACCTGCTTCTGTGGAGCATGCTATATTGGTCGCACGAACAGGCGCCTATCCAAAGGACCAAGACAACACCCGGCATGGTTGGGAAAGGGCGAGACTAAAAGTACAAACAGCGCCATTCTCACAGACATTGTTGATTAGGGGCATCTTGCGGAGCCCAACAAAACCCTCCGTGTAATTTACAAGGCCCATCCAAAGTATTTTAAATCACAGAGTCAGCGTCTGCTGCCTACAGCAGAGGGGACTGCCGTCAGATTTGGAAAGACTGTCATCTGTGCTCAGAGGAACCTGGTTCAAATTCAACGTCTATCGTAGCGGAGAGTCGGTTAACTGCATGCAATCCTTTGCGCCCTCCCTTTCCACCTAACCCTAAGTACCTCCTAATTCATTGTCCCTTGTTACCTCCCTCCCCCCTTGTTCCCATACCCAACTTGATTGTAAAGACGTGATGTTATTGGTTTCTTCTATTACTTATATGTTTTACACGTTCCGCGTTACCTAATGAGAACTTATCGGAAGAACACGTATGCGCGACAGCTGGCCTTCTGCGTAACAGACCCCCTGTCAAACGGGATTTGGGGAATGAGGATAGAAAGCCAAGTATGCAGATTTTGCATCGTCCATCAAACTTATAACAGATGTGGCGAATGATGTGAAAAAGCCGCCTCTCATACAAACTCAGAAGAATTCATGTCAATTGTTGAACAGATGGATGAAGCCATGTGGGCTTAAATCATAAGTTAGGGGTACGAGGCTGTGGGGTTTTTGCTGGCTCAGTTTAATTGTTTGCTGTGTCCATGTTTACTCCATTTGAAATGTGTTTATGCAAATTAATTAGGTCTTTTTTCTTAGATTTTAATATAAATGTTGTGTTTTTAACTTGGGTCTAACAAAATTAGAGACATGAAATCCGCAGACAGTCATGTTCGTCATCGTATGCTGCATGCATTTTGCAAGGGAAACAACGTAACAGCCACCAAAACAAGTTGTGGTTTATTCGAACGCTTTAGATTTCAGCAAGCGCTAATGAGGCGATCTCGACCTCCGATATTCGTTGTCCGGCAAGACCAGTGATTAAATAATGACCTTTTCCGCGCAACCACTGAGAACTGTTCGGGTAAGGTTATAGAGATAGTATCACAAAACCGACCTTCTCCTGGTCTACTCCTCAAGAACACCTTTAGCACACATGACGGTTCTGTAGGCAAGGAAGTTTTCCCCCAGGCCTATTTTCGGTGTAAAACAGTGCCCCGCGTTCCATAAGTTGTAATTTTTGCTAAGCAGGTAAGGGAGGGAACCAGTTCTTAATCGAACTGTCACTGAAGAAGGAAAATGGATTCTGTACTTTAACAACATGCGCCCACACCAATGACTTTTCGCAGGTCGGACACCAGCTTCCACATCAACATCAGACATTTACACCAAGAAAAACTTGGTATGTGTTTGGTGAAGTATGGTTGATATATTTTAATTATGACTACTGAAACAGACCACTATTGTCAATTATTAGAAAATTCTAACTAATCCCTTGTCGTCAAACACCCAGTATTAATTGATAAGGTGTCATTCTGCTGCATAGCAACGTGAGGCAGCATTCGGCTCAACAGATGCATAGTAAGATCCGGGATTTAGGGTGGGAACTTTTGTCCCTGATTGTGAGCCGACTGATCATAATTTGTTTGGTTCTTCGCAGCACTTACTGCGCATAAGAAGTCTTCAGAATCACAATAACGTCAAAGCTGGGATCTCGGAGTCCTCTGCATCATAACAGTGATTAATAACGACGGTGATGATAATACCGGTTAAAAATTAAGATGTCTTTCAATAAATACTTTCCTGTTAATTATTAAAAGAAAACGAAACTACCCTCCGATATTCCCAGTACTTTCATGGAAAAACAGAATCATAAAGACTCGAAGGCAGAGTTAGTACCGAAACGCACTACTCTGTCTGCCAGTTCAAATGGTTATCGACAGGCAACTTCAGGCAAAGACACACCGCAGCAACTCCAACCCAGTTATTGCAATTGCAGAACGGAGTACAGGCGACTCAGTATTACCTTAGTATCGCTCATAGTCCATTGTACAAATATAATAACTTGGCAAACACTATGCCGATTTGCCTTGAATGTTATGGACCGTATCCGAAGCAACAGGAATCTCTACTGATTCTGACTGATTCGAATTCTATGCAGAATTACAAGACACTCTTATGGTGAAGTCTGACTTACATTTGTGTCGGTAGCCACTAGTGAAACCCGGCTTGGGCAGATCGAAGTCCTCGAGGATTTTGTTGTAGTCCTGCAGGCGTTGATTAAAATTCCGTTCATTAGCTTCCAGAGTAAAACATGAATTGATTTTTGTTTAAGCAAATTGGAAATGCAGAATTATTTTGTGATAGCGTTCTCCAAACAGAAGAGTATTGGGTTCTCGATGGTATACCTTGTTCAAGTATTGAAATAAAAAGGAAATGCCTTTCCGGCAGCAGGACATGATCGAAAAATACTAGGGATTAACGGCTCCGTCTCTGTAACTTCTTAAGTAAAAGAACGGCCATATGTGAGGCAGTGTTGTCAGGAAAGTTTCTCTTAAACATTAAGAATTTGTGATTTAACCATTTGAAATGATATTCAGCACATGCGGGGCAATAATGACATACATTGGAAATAAGTTCCAAATTCATACATCATTTTGCGGCCAAAAACCTATTTAGCGCAAGTTAGAACCTAACATGAAATACATTTTTGTGCAGAGATTAAGTCGTTTATTCTGAGGACGAAAATGTATTAAAAACATTTATTCTATCACTTGCCAATGTTAGTTAAGATATTTTAAACCAAAAGACGCAGTGAGACAAAATCGATAAAGAAAAGTCGCAAATTTTTACAGTCAGTCACCTTTAAAATGCGCATTTATCACCGCAATTGAGGTTCCAAAGAGGATGAATGAAAGCGCAACGGCACCTTTCGTCTGGACGGCGGATCTAGTGCAAATTCCACTGCACTGAGGGACTGAAAAAGGCAAACAGTTGTAGGACTAAACGCTGCTGCTTTAACTTTCAGAATGCACAAAAAAGCAGGTGCAGATCTTCCACCTATTCTCCTCGGGGGACTGTTTAACGGCAAACAGTTGGTACATCATTGAGTCCGTAATGCTTCGATTTAATTTGCACAGAATTCTGATTAAGAAATACACAGAAAATATGGGGTACAGCTCTCATTACAGGACTTGTCAAGGTCCGCCACGGCCCTGATACAACCTTAGTAATGATAAAACACGGAAAGAGTGTTCCATAGCGCGATAGGCGAGCGCGCCTCTACCAAAGTAAATATTTTTAATTTTCTCTCTCGCTTTCGCTTCTCATTGGATTACCTGTTGCTGTCTTGTGAAATCGTCAAAGGCATTCCAAAGTAAGGACAAAAATGAGAAGACAGTCATTCTCGGGCAATTTCGGTGTCATTCAGAGTGGGTGGATGCCTTATTCGGATACGAACCTAACAACACTGGAGTGTCCTTTCTTCAAGCAGTCAGGACATAAATGTTTCAGCGATGCGTCCTGACTAATTTCGTCAACACCCTGACATGCGGCGAAAAGTAGTTTAAATTAACCAAATCAGTGCGAAAATAAATCTTGTAATTTTTTCAAATTTATAAGCGTTCAAAGGAGTCGAAGCAAATCCGACCGTAATGCTCACACCGTAATACTGAATAGGCAGTGATAGTACCTGACAGAATGTATATAAACTCCCGGTGGAGCAAGAGTAGTTAAAGGTCTTGATGCATTATTAAGCAAATATCCGAGGTTCATAGTTTATGATTAAACTGCCATCACCGTAACCGTTCCTATTTCATCTTACGAACTCAACACTTTCTACATACAGCGTTGCTAAAATAAAACGGTACATATATGTGCATTTTTATAAACCGAGCCCATGATTGAGCAAGAAGATCTAGCTGAAATAAAAGGTGTATCTTACCTGAGATATACCAAATTAGGTCGCGGTGAAGGAAAACACTAGTATCCAGTGAGCCATTTGTTGCGTGTGTAAAAAGGACATAATTCGGACCGAGGACGCTTTGCATTTGCACAAGGATTTCGCGTCTTAAAAATAAGGTAAATACATATGTGCTTAAGACGTTGGTGACAAAATTTTCAGTAAGTTTATACAGACTTTGACTACTGATGCAAAAAGAAATAAGACACATCAGAGCAGTAAGTATTAAAGAGACCAAGTTGCAGTTGTGGTTGGAAGCATCAAAATACACATTTTGAATTTGCCAGCAGGCAGCCCAGAAATACCGAAACCGGTAGACTGTTGGTGACATGAGCATCAGTAGACAAAGTCAAAATAATAGATTCTTGAAATTTTTGTACTCCAGCGTTTAGGCAAATCCAAAAACAGTCAATATGCCAAAGATGTCTCAAAGCAAGTGCAGATTATAAAACCTGAAACTGTCCGATAAGCGAAGAATTCGAACAAATGTACGACAGGTTCGTTCACGCTGTATAAAATTAATTGTGTGGTATAAATACTACGTGGTCAAATCCTTTCGTGCAATCAGATACAATACCCTTTTAGTATCGGTTATTGAGTGTCAAACAAGAAAATCTTGAACTGCCGAGCAAACCTGTTAGAACATGTCTCGGACTCATCAATGCCAATAACATGGGACGACCAGCATCTTGCATAGTTTCTTCTGAAAAACAGTATAAACAACCCCGAGTAGCATATTTGAAAGTGATTTCGTATGTTATTTCTCTTGTTTACTCATGACGGAGTTCGAACGCCTTCCACTACAGAAAAATTACTTCATAAAGAAAACGACTAAAGGATGCAAATGACCCGTCTAGGACAGCCACCCCTAGACAAAGCCCCCCTACGGCAGACTCTACTTTGGGCTTATATCTGAAACATGATCGAACGTTTTTGTAAGCACTTGTCTGACCACTGGATAAAGAAAAAAGCAAAGTTATCTAAAAAATTTAAAGAGCGGGGGGCGTGAAGACATCATACAGCTGAGGGATGAGTTTGTGCTTCCTTACAGTTAAAAGCAAAATTTGTTTCAAAAGGCATTCCCCCAAGGAAACATATTACGAGGATACACGACCACGAAAGAAGAGGTCGGTAAAACCAAGTTACTTATGTTTTTCTGACCTAACAATTAAGATCCAAGCCATTATAAACCCTGCTAGCACCAGCCCCGTCTGGCCCCGCCTAGCCCCCGGGGCCAGACGGGGCTGGGCCCCGTTTGGGCGGGGCTATGACGGGGCTACGACGGGGCTAGGGACGCGATAGCCCCGTCTGGCCCCGTCCTCAAAAAAAAACGTTCAGGTGGACGCCATGCTCGAGCAAGAAGATCTCGTTGATAATAACCCCAAATTTGCATTACCAGTATTTTTCCTTTCCTAATTCTCCGTACAGAAGGTTAAACTATTCAACTTTTGATCGCTTTATACCCATAACCCTTACGTGAACAATGTTACTAACCTTCATTTAAAATAGTGAATGCAAGCTAAAAAGCTTCTTTTAAAAGAGAAGAGAGCGAAATCTGTCTAAAATAATGCAGAATGACGTCATAAGAAAGGATGGAAATTCACAAAAATTTGGACGGGGCCTGGCCCCGTCTAGCCCCCGGGGCTACGACGGGGCTGTGGACGCGATAGCCCCGTCTGGCCCCGTCCTCGAAAAAAAAAAAAAGTGCTTTACTTAAGTAAAGCACTTTGAGACATTAGTGAGGAAAAACACTAAAAGCAATGGGTGCTTTTAAGCAGGTGCTCCAATCCTGAGCATTAAATTATATATATTCTAGTTGCAGTCATTCTGACATATTTAGATAAGACGCTCAAGAGACTGGGCGTTTAAAATTGGAGGCACTATAGTCGCATAAAAATATACCTGCTTCATTATCATAAGCATTTATATTACGGATTATTTCATCCTCATTATCGTAATTACGACCATAATGTTAAGCAAACACTAATCGGTATTGTTGACAATATAGCTGACTTGTGGGAATTGCAGCAGTTATGGCAAAAACGTGGGACTGTTTGCGCAACAACCTAGTTCGTTTTACTGGGAAAACGTCTGTCGCGTAAGTACAAAATACACATCAGTTGTTCCACTGACCAAACACAATTTAAGCCGAAAGCAGTATATGTTAACGGGTGAGCCCATGCGCAGTATAGTGAAATGAAGGGTTCATCTGCGTACCTGTTACTTGGCGCTTCTTGCGCGCAGAATATAACTACTTCCGCTGGGGAAGATTCGGCGCCAGTCAAGAGTAGTTCGATGAAATATTCAACGCAGAACTAAGGGATTAAAACAACCCATGTTTACTAGTGGGTGTTGTGCTGCCATATTCCAACTTATTATGCGCAAATTCATTTTTCTATTCGGAAATCGTTTTTCCAACTCACGCTGTCCCAACATCGAACCCGAACTGCCACCAAAGCTCCCCACAAGAAAGTTTCTAAAAGTTTTACTAGACGAGACGATTACCTTGATCCATAGAATGCAGGACCAAAAATGCGTGATTCAGAGGAACAGAAATTCCTAAAATCCGGACACAATGTCTGTGCTTCACTAATATCATAGGAGGAGATTGATCGTGATTTAATTGAATTTGTAATGTTCTGTTCCGTGAAACTGTTCGTATGGGACTCTCCCCTAGATGTTACAAGGATAAGCTTTTTAGGTAACTTACATCACAAAAGGACAACAAACAAATAAGACTTGGAAACAAGTTTAAGACTACGCCGAAAAGATTGCGAACAAGGTTGCTGATATTACTTTTAAAAATTTAAACAAAAACAGAGTTATCCTGCAAGCGTCAGCTTTATCAAAAACTGACTAAGAAGATCACTTTTTACGATGGCTTTTGTTTTATACGATTACTGGTTGGGAAATTTACAAACATAATACGTTTTAGCGGTTTTTCTTCCATATGTTTCTTGAATATCCGAAGTCCAGCGCTGTAAGTGTCGTATTCCTCTCCTCCCTTTGACAGCCTACATATTGATTATCATATGGACACTAACAATGTGAATAAAGTGACAATGAAGGTGTTAGAAGTAGGTACAGCAGGAGTAATCTAGGAGTTAAATAACAATGAATGGCACAGTGACTCTGACGCAAGAGTGACAGATAGATAGATAGATAATTTTTATTAAAGACCCGTCGGGGTCCCATCAAAGCAAGTTAAAATAAATTTTCATGCGAGTTTTAGACGAGGTAGGCCAAATCTTTACAAAATGCAATTCCTAGTTTCTAAATTAGAAGTCCATTGAGAAACATGATGATTGAGGGGTGAAAAAAACTCCTTAAAAAAGTTAAAAATGATTGGACTGATTTTACAGGAGAAAAAAACCCCTCCATAAAAATAATAACAGAAAAAAAAACGAGCAGGACTGGCCTGTAGGTGGCGGTATATAACGGAATGTTGTCGGTCATCGTCAGGGTAGCAATAAATGTCAGCCTTGATGGGTACGAATAAGGGTCAGACAGGACTGGCATGCAAATGGCATTGTATACGGGATTCACAATTGAGATCGTCTGGGCCTGATTGGTACGCCGCGTCAAAGAGGCCAGACGAGAGGAACCGAGATGCGATCGGCCACAGCACGCTTCGAGCTCAGCCGAGCAGTGAGGAAGTGAGGTACGACCGAACTACTAGTAGACAGTGAATACTGAGGGTTCCGCCGTGAGCGTCGACAGACCGCATGAGGTTGGAATGCGGGAGATGACATCGAAAACCGCGAAAATTGTCGCTATGGGGGGGGAGTGATAGCAGTGGATTTAGAAACCAATTCAAAACAGGGGTTTCTAATGATATAATTAAGAGTTACCACTTAATCTACCACTAAATCCCAGGAGGACCCTTCTCGAAGTCAAGAATCTGAGTGTTCGGGAATGAGACCGTTAACAGTGCCTTTATGCTTTCCGGTGTAAGATGGTTGCGTAATGTCGACTTGAATACCAGTAACTTAGGCGATAATCTAATTTCAGGCGGAAGATTATTCCAAAGGAAGGCATATTTGGAAGCAAAGAAGAGGGAGCGCTTAGATGTAGTAAAAAGAGGCGGCGGAATCACCATGCAGGAGTTGCGCGTGGCATAAGACCGATCTCTCGGAGTAAGAGTGTCAATGTGCGGAAGACTGGAGCTAGAGTTGATGCGAAAAAGGAAGCAAAGGCCAGCTTCGAGTCTTCTAACCCACAAAAACTTCATGTTCGCCAGCTGACATCTCTGAGTATAAGAAATACTGGACGAAGCTTGAGAGAACAGTTTCCGGGTGAAAACCCTCTGAGCATTTTCGATTTTATTACGGTCGCAGGCGTTCATTAAACCGAAGAAAGGACAGCAGTATTCAAGGACTGGAAGAACAAACATTTGATAAAGTCTTAGCTTCATTTCCGGAAGGAAAAAATTATGCGATATGAATCCACATATCTGCGCGGCTTTGACAGAGATTCTATCTGCATGAGGTGATAAAGCAAGTTTATTTGTATAACTTAGATCTAGGTCCTTTATGGTGAGGCATTCTGAGAGTGGGTTATTCTGAAAAATTATGGGACCAGGAAGTTTGGTAGGACCAAAAGACATGAAACTACACTTGGATGATGAAAACTCCATCTGCCATGTCAAACCCCATCTGCTTAAGCGTAGTAAATCGGCATTAATTTTTTCAACACAAACATTTGCGGGGTCCTTAGACTATGAGTAAACACACTTGAGGTCATCGGCATAAGTAAAAGTTTGCGAATTTCCGAGTTCAGTCGAAATATCATTGATGTACAGAAGGAAGAGTAGCGGACCCAGGACCGTGCCTTGAAGTACGCCACTCGTGATCGAGTGGGGTGTCGAGTAGCTATTACCGACCATGACTTTCTGATATCGGTTGGACAGATAGGACCTGATGAAGTCGAGTAGAGGCGGCCGGATGCCAAGAGCTTCTAATTTTACTAAAAGACGTCTATGGGGCACCTTGTCAAAGGCTTTGCTAAGATCAAAGTAAAAAACCACCACTGACTGCCGCTCATTACGAACAGAAGTGATTCGATTAAGAAAAGCCAAGTGGCATGTTTCGCAGGATCGTTCAGGCAAAAGTCCATGCCGACTAGAGCTCAGAAGCCGATTAGCTAGACAGAAGTCAAGAATTTCATCGAAAATAATCCTTTCAAGAAGCTGTGCTAGAGACGGCGTTTTGTGCACGCCCCGATAGTTATTAACATCGGACCGAGATCCTGACTTGAAAACGGGAATGATAATTGACGTTTTCCATGTTTCAGGAAAGAAACCTTTTGAAATATAAACAGAGAATAAATGACTGAGCAATATGGGAAGGTCGGACGCTTGTTTAATAATCGAATTCGGAATCCCGTCCGTTCCTGAGCAGTGTGAGTATTTCAAACGGCTTATGTGTTTCTTAATGAGATCTGAGGAGACATCAATTGTACTAAGTGTCCTATCTGAAAGTGATCGAAAGAAAGGGACCGGATCGGACTCGGTAGTAAGGTGTTTTGCAAAGAAAGCACTAAACAACTCCGCCTTGTCAGTGTCATCGGTGAGGAAGACTTTGTTATCATTTAGCATGGGTGGAAGTTTATGACCACGCTTAGAGTAGGACCGATGACGGACGATGCTAGCGACGGATTTGCCAGGGTTCGAACCACTGAGAGCAATTGATTCTCTTTGCCTGTCGCGCGCTTGGCGCATCCTTGAGGCCATCTCAAATATCTCTGTGATTCTAAGATGAACGGATAAGGAACTAGTGGATGGGTCACGCAGTTGTCGCCTCAACTTTTTTAGTCTGTTCTGAAGAAAATGAGGAACAAGGGAATCTGAAGAATTAGGCTTGAGATATCTACGCGGCACAAACTCTAGAATGTCCTTGGAAACATTGGACATGACATCATGAAGAATGGTTACATCGCTACAAGTGAGGAGGCCACACCAATCCAAGGATCTCATATAGTTATTTATTAAGTCGCTATCTACGCAGTCGTAGTTCATGAAAGTCTGAACGGCGCTTGTCTTTTTTGAAAAGGCAAGCGGTAGGCAACAATGAATTAATACGTGGTCCCTGTCAAAGAGGTCCTTTTTTAAAGCAACTGAAAGAGGAGCAATGTCATTGGTAAAGATTAGATCTAAAATGTGATTATCTCTTGTTGAAGAGCGCACCAGTTGGGACCAATTAGAAAAATTGACAATATCTTGAAAGGGCTGGAATCGGGGTGGGCAGCTATTGGAAACCCAGTCTATTTCAGGAAGGTTTAAATCCCCAGTGATTATTTTAACATCGAAAGCAGCTTCCGAAATTAATTTAAAGATTTCACAGAGTTGAGAATCATCACTGGCTAAAGAATTTGGGGGATTGTAGATACAGCCAATGATTGCCTTTCTTTGCGGCGAGAGAATAACAGATGCAAAGCAGAAGTTTCCCGTGAATGAGGAAACATCCAAGTTATAGGGAGAGTGCTTTAGGTAGAATTTAAGATAAAGAAGACAACCACCCCACGCCTAGTCGTGCGGTCTTGGCGGTAAAAATCGAAGTCATCTATGAGAAGGGCAGAGTCAGGAATTAGAGAATGTGTCCAAGATTCTGTTACACATATAATATCAGGCGTCATTTCCAGAGCAATGGCTCTGATTTGGGCCATCTTGTTTATAACAGACCCGGCATTCAATAATATAATATCTAATGTGTTTCGAACGGCAATGCTATTTTCGACGGTATTTTAAAAAAATTTGGAGGCGGATATGTAAGCTGCGAATTAATGACACTTGGAGAATAAGTACCAGTTAATTTAGAGTTATTTACGTACGGGGAGTCAGCAAGAGAAGGCTGAGTATGAGACCTAAAGGAGGTGGAGATATAGTTTTCAAACATTGGAATGCTAGGGGAGTTAAAACATGGATAGACTTGTTGGTAGTTAAATAATGGAGGAAAGGGAGGAGGAGGAGGGAGGCTAGAAGGAAAGTAGGGGCTAATGGGTGAGGGTAGGCCACTAAAAGAATGAAATGGTGGGAAACCAGGTCTAGATTGGAAGTCAAAGGAGATAGGTTGACGTACCTGAGAGCAATTGGCCTTAAGTTTTGGGAAGCCTGAACTAGGTTGGGGCATAAATGATTTAGGGCAATTCATGTATGAATTATTTGCTGGATATATAGTAGGGCTTTGATAAGTAACCGGTACGCAGGACAGAGAATTATTCGAGGATATAATTGGAGCTGCGGGGTTTGTAGACGTGCTGGGCTGAACAGACTTGTTAGATCTAAGAGAAGGCGTCGTACCCCTAAATGGAACTGTACTACCTATCTTTTGGGTCGGAGTCTGATTCAATTTTCGAGTCTCACCGTTCTGACGCCAAGCCACGGGTGACTTAGCTGTAGACCTTACAGCACCCAGTTGAACAATAGAAGTTATCGGTCTAGCTGATGTAGACGGATTTTCATGTGTCTCTGCGGGACTATCCGGAGGATACGAAACGACAAATGGGGCTGCTGCTGCTGCTGCTGCTGCTGCTGCTGCTGCTGCTGCTGCTGCTGCTGCTGCTGCTGCTGCTGCAAGTTTAGGGGCAGGCAAATGCGTCAAGTGTCTTGAGTGAGATGGAGATGTAGGAGAAAGTGGAAGGAGGGAGTCAGATGTCGCAGGAGTAGGAGAAGCTGAATCCTTACGGCCACTTGTATTATGACCGAGTTGGGGAGCATTAGACTGAGAAGCAGTGGGTTTACGTGAGAATAGAGACCCGATTCTACGCTCCATAGGAGTAAGATCATGACAAAGATAAAATTTTGCCTTCTCTAGTACGCAGTGATACGCTCTCTATGAGTAAAGATTGTGTCAACTTCAATTGATGAAAACAATTTGACTAAGATGGGTGGATTTGTACTACGGGAGGACAAGCGTTTGGCATCAGCTATTTTGTAGTTGAAACCACATGAATACAGGAAACTGGTCACAACATCAATTGGCCGAGCAGATCGAGGAACATTTTTTAGCAGGAAGTTGTAAGAACGCTTCTGTCTATCACTAGATTCACTGGCGATCAAGTGAACAAGTGAGTCGAGACGCCTACATTCTTCAGAGGGAATATCGGAGATGTTCCCGTCGAATAAATGTCCAAGAATTGTCAGCAAAGAGCCAAACTTTAGCATAAAGTCATTGCAGTGGTCAAGTGCAGACAGATTCAGCTGCCGACCAATAAAAACGGGTGACGACTGACTAGTTATATCATCTGACTTAGATTTAGGTAAAGCTTCTGACTAACGTTTAGTTAGGCCGTGTTTACTTACAAGAGCCGAGAGCTTACGTCGACCAGTGACTTTTGGTCTCATCTTGTCTCGAGGCAATTTGTGATTAAGAAAACTTCTGGCAAACAAGTTGACTGAATTTCAGCTAGGGGCTAACGATGTAAAAATAAATTACAACAGTTAGAGAGAAATCGGATGCACAAAATGAGAATTGCAAAATGCGATTAGTGAACAACGGGCATAGACTAGCAAAACTCGAAAGGAGATGGCAGCAGGCAGTTCTTAGAGAAAAGGCCTGTATTTAAGGAAATTCAAACAAAAAACAGGTACTAAAATCGTTAGGTCTCACAGAAAAACCACTTAAAATAATATCCTCCACTTATCGCAAATTCAAAACCAGCGGCTTGACGTAAATCATTCCTTATTGATGACCCTCGCCAGAGTTTTGGCATTTCATGACTAACACCTATGAAAAAAGCACATTTATAAAGTCTACATTTGAATCCTTTTTACATTGGACAGATAGGAAAAGAGACATGACAACTGCCAAAATGCCTTCAGGCTGAGCGGGCTTCATCGAAGTGCCGGCAGGTAATCGAAGTTTATGCTCTTGTCAGTTCAATTTAGTTCAGTTTATTCGGTGACATTCGCAGGAGCCTTTGAGTACTTTAATTGCAATTGAAAATTGGGCACAGTGTAAAGAAGGGTTATCTGGGCGGCAATAATTCAAACGGGCTCATAATATGAGCGAGTCCCAGGAGATGAACTCGTTTTCTTATCGCTCTTTCTGATTTCGGAATATAAGTATATCAAAGTCCTGTTTGAAGTTTTGTGTCGAGGAAACATGACAACTTCTGCGAGGAAGGCATTCCATGAACTAACCACTCGGACCGAGGAGGAGAACTTCCGCACATCCAGCCTTGCATGTTAAGTGCGAAGTTTGGACGGGAAATCTCGGAGATTAGTCGTGGTAGGGAATTCAAAAAGCATTAAAGATCAGGCTGCAGTCCAAACCCATTACTATGTTGAATGCTTGCAAGAGCTTCTGCGATGGTGCCTATGATGCAGAAGGAGGCGGTTCAGATTTACTAGGCTGCTTGCATAAGGAAAGGAGCTTTTTGCCCATAACTATTTTCGTGGCTCTCCTCTGGATTTTTTCAAGACAATTTTAATATTGAATAGTCCAAGGTCTCTAGGATTGCATGCCGTATTCCAAATGCAGCCACAAGAGTCTTCCGGAAGTCTATGAGAAGGCATCTTCGTCAAAATTCATAAATGCAACTTTATGGTGTATAGAACGGAAATTGTGCTTCTGACACTCTCGAACAATTAGCGGACGGTTTAAGAAGGTCTTCAGCTGCAAACCGAGGTCCCTTTGGCCTTTGACGTCTCATATCACTACAACTTCAAGAAAGTAATTTCCTGCTCTAATGGATCTGACTGGGTTGCCTAGTCGAAAAATAGTACACCTACGGACGTTGAACTGCACGAACCAACGTTAGACTACTCTGCCAATCGATTCAGATTCATCTGCAGTCGATCTTCGTCCGTAAGGCCGAGAATTACATTCCATAACTTCCTGTCGTCTGCGCACATTGCCGCTTCGCAGTCCGGTGCTCTTGCGCAATCGACCACGTATGTTAGGAGCAAAATGGATCCCAGTACTGAACTCTGGGGAAGTCCACTGTCGATCTCGGCAGGATATGACTTACCTTACCAATGTAAACAATCTCCTGTCGATCCGCAAGGAGGTTTTCGATTCACTTGAGGAAGTTGCCTCTGATCCCCATTTTTTCAGTTTGTGTAACAGTCTCTGGTGTAGCACAGTATCGTACGCCTTCTGGAAGTCAATATATGTAAGATGGACCGCGTGCCTGTTGTTTATACCTCGGTTCCATCTCTGGAGAGATTCCAGCCAAATTATCGTACGGCATTTTCCTTTCCGGAACACATGTTGGCAGTTCGATGGCAGGTCATGAACTTCCGGGAATTGCATCAATTCACTCTTCATGATCCGACATAATTTTGCCGAGAATGCATGTTAAGCTTTTGGGCCTGCGATTTTCCGTTGGTGCTTGGTACCTCCTTTGTATAGCAGTCTAATGTGCCAGTTTTCAATCGATAGGAAGTGTTCCAGTGTCAAATGACGTTTGAAGGAGCATCGAAAAAGGCACAGAAAGCTCACTGGCAGATATTTCGAGAAACTTGAATGAAGTCTTGTCTGTTCGTCGCGTCTTTGAAGCGTCCAATGCCTCCAAGTTCCTTCGGACAATACCTTCTGAGAAGAGTATATTACTTTTGCTTGGAGTCGGCAGTTCTTTTATGGACTGGAGAAGGCGCTTTGCCTCGTTTATGTAGACTGAGTAGGAAAGCTGTGAAAACTACCCGGCATTACCTCTGCTATCAGCAATCTCAAAGCCGCCTTAAGGGGTTTTGATTTTTGTTCCTTGTACATTTCGTAAGGTAGTTGAAGAGAAATTTTGGGCTCTGTGTTGTCTTTCGTAGCAAATTCTTCTCCAATTCGCGGAGCGTCTTTTATAATCATGCTTTTCAGTTTCTCTATCCATGTCTTTTATGTGTTGAAATATTCAACTTGCCCATCGACACAGTATTTTCTCCACGATTAATGGTTCCTGTTGATTTCGCTCCTTAGGTTACTGTTCACCCACCCAGGCCGCTTGTTCTATCTTTTGCTTGTCAAAGGCAATGATTGTTGATAAGTTGAAGAGGGACATTCTTGAACAAATCCCAGTCATCACTGGCACTGCCCGTAACATCGAGCTCGAGTGAGGGCCTAATAATTCTGTTCCAAATTGATTAAAATCACCTCGCCAAATGTTGTATCTGTTTGGTTGTGGAGTATGGGACCGGAGAATAATCCAACGTAGGCGCTACATGATCACTTCGGCCGAAGGATGGCACGTAGATGACCTCGTCTATGCTGTGTGATGCTTTCGTAAAAACTGAATTCATACAGTTGACTCATTGTTCTTCACGCTTTCTCGCTGGAAATACTACATATTTTGTGAAGAATGTCATCAATGTTTTGTTCAGTGAAGTTAGTCGAATGCCGATGTTGGACCTGACGTTTGGATGTTGTGCCGGTCAATCACTGGCGCGTTGATGTCGCCTTTGATTTCAGGTCGACTAAAGAATATCTCCAATTGCTCCAATAGTTGAGTGTCAGTGTTTTGGTCTGTCCTAGGTGGCCAGTACACAGGTAGGACATAAAATCACTTGGAACCACCAGCCTTGGTCAGGCAAATATCTCCCTTTCTACAAGCAAGCTTAGTGGCATTTTCCGACATTGACAAGTCTTATTTTCTGTACTCAGCTATGTCACCACCATGACGATGTTTTCTGTACCTGTGATAATTTTTTGATGCTTATTTAAGGCTATTTCGCTTTCGCTAATGTTCCCCTACAGCCGGGTTTCGGTTACTGCTAAAATATCCGGAGAAAGTTCGCAAGGCTTGGGGCGTTTGTATACATACACCTCATCTTTGCGCACTTTAAAATGTGGCTGCATTCGCCACTGTTGTGGACATTACTGGGTTGTGGCGGACATAATTTCTCCTGGGCTCTTCCGTTGCTTCGGTCAGAACACTAGCCCCTAAGGGCATACTTATTTAGTTGCCTCGAGCGGCTGGCTACACGATGGTGTTTGCGTCAGCTTATTAACTGCCGTCCTTCTTTGTATTACAGGCTGGTTCCATTGAAACAGCACATTTTCTGAACTAATTTCTCCTTGAAAATAACCAGATTGTGTTCGCCACCCTTTGGTCTCGATTTTAATTCGAGACAAGTTCCCGGCGTCACCCGTTTCGCCGGAACGTAGTCCCCTGATCTTCTGAGGTTGGTTTTTTTGGGCACGACAAACATGAGTTGTTCTTTGCTCTCCGGCATAGTTTTGAGAGGATGAGGGATAGCGCTGTTGCCCTGTCTTCATTCCTTTTTCCGATTCAAAATGCGTTCAGGGCTTTTATTTCGATGTCTGATTGATTCAAGTGGTTTAGTAGACCATGAAAAGAAACAAGATCCTATGAGATACGGTCTTCGGATCTGACCGCATTCGATTCAGACAAGCTCTGAACAAGCAGACACAAATGGCGGACCCGGTACTCTTTATTTCGTATGTCCGGCGAATTGTCTGCATAAGGACGAGGGTAATTTAAGGAGTCCCAGCTCCGACTCACATTTTTGTTTGGACGAACTGTCCCGAGTAAACTATCAGGATGGTCGTGAATTGAGGCTCCTATTTTGGCGTTTTCCGATCCCCCAACCGACGAGTTCCTGTCTTCACATTAAAATATGTGTTCTATCGAGCACTCGGGTGGTTGTGAGGACAAAAGAGCAACAATTAGTCTAACTGGGTAAAATTAACAGTTGTTGTTCGGTGGTGTTAGTTTCTCAGGCCCTTAGTCTTTAATTTTGTGCGTCAGTAGGAGCCTATTTGAAATCGATCATGATAAACTAATGTTTTCTATTACAATTGTGTTTTGACGGCCAGTTTGAAGGACAATTACCGGTCATTATATTAATCCTGTTCGCACTAACTACAAAACGCGTCTGAGCGGCGACCGATTAATTTCAGTTCGCGAAATATTTCCGTCCTCAATCGGCACTTCACCAACTGCCACTCAGACAACAACATGAAACCATAGTACCTCAAAGACACTCAACTGTCAGTAACACCTATACAGAAGGATGTTGGTGTTTAGCTGCTGAACTGTTGGGACTTTTCGTTTCCATTTTTCACTGCTAGCTCGATCTCCTCCGTATATTTATTTTGGCAATGCCCCTAACCTGACATTCATTAATATTATTGTAGTTATTACGGCGAAGAAGTGCTATGGGGGCACGACATACGACCAGAACGATAATTGCAGTTCTTTTAGCAAACCCAGTCTACGACATATTTCTTAGTCCTTACTTAGGATATAGCGTGCCATTACGGAAAGAGTGGCTTGGACGCGACACAAAGAAGCTCAAGAAAGAAACAGTGTCGGGTGACAAAGGTAGTACCTGAAAGGCCTGAAGTATCTTGATGTATTCCTTCTGTGCTCCAGACAGCAAAGAGTCGATCGTACCCCGATGTATCGGATAGTACATGCCGGCAAAGAAGAGCATAATTTGGTGACGTATTATATCAGGAATTTTGTTTACCCCGCATGGAAACTCATTGAAACTGCTCATAAAAGCATTTAAGACAAACCTTCAATCTGGAGCGTTCACACAACTAGCAAATGATTGATGGAATGGTGTCAGTAAAGCGTTTGTGGCAAAAGCATCACTGCACTTCCTCACAAACACCGGACTATTTGGCACGTCTATTGCTTTCCCTCCACAAAGTTGACCGGTAGTTGAGACCGTGTGCAAACTTCTCCCTTGCTGAATGTTTATACAGATCATCGCAAGTTAAGTATTACTTTGTACCGTTTTATTGTACTACTTTTCAAATGATCAATATACGGACATCTTCTGCAACTTTTCTGTAAAAAGACAAAGTTTTCAAAAGTGCTATCATTTATCCTCAAATATACTGAGTATTTTAGACAAAAACAGCTTCTGGTTCATCCATTTGAGTGCAGAAGTTAAATCACACGAACTAATCACCGGAAATTTTCCGACAACCAGTAAGAAGCTGGACCACTGAATACGCTAAAAGTGAGATGTTGACATCCACATCCTTAAACACATCAACACTATTAATAGCAGAAAAAACTAAAGTTCGTTGCAAGGTGTCCCAAGTGCAAGCAAGGGCAGCATTTTATTCAGAGTGTGGAAAGACGCTGACTACGTATGTTGGTCCAGGATCCTGGGGAACACGGCAGCTAACCCCTTAAGTAAATACTTACAGGAGTATATGTATGGGCTTATAATCCTCAAGAAGACTCTAAAAGACATCAAAAAATACCAGACTAAGCATATTGCAGATCTCCTGCCCATTCCCCGTAATGGAGCATTAGAGGCAAATATTCTGGTAGGAGCGCCAATTTCATCTAACATTGCTGAGTATATGTTCGGCCATGATGCTAATTTTCATTCTACTTCTGGACACCAATAAGATTCTATTGCCGTGGACACTAATAAACATGTGACTAATTCAACTGAACAGTGTCGAATAAACTGAACAAGATCTACTATTTGGACTTAAATTTTCAGGAGCTGGCACATACTCCTTGGGCAATTCATTAAAAAGAGTGAACACACAGTAGAATAGGTTGATCTTACTCCCAAAAATGCGCGACTGTATTCAAGACATATAATTATCATTCTATTTATTCCACTCTCGATTATTTAACAGTTGTAACGTGACGTTTACTCGCGTATGTGGTGCAAAAGATCACACTGTGGACAGGGTAGCACCTCTGCCGATGCCATCGATCTTGTCTCATTTGTCCCTTGTTATGCGGAAAAATGGAGTAAGGTCATATATCGGGCTTGACCGTAGATGTTGGGTTAGATAGATAGAGAGTTCTTACATGAGAAACCAGAACGGCATTTTCATCACACAAAGGATCGCGGAACGAATGAACGAACTGGTGCAGTTGTTAGTTTATTTTTTAAAATAATAATAATAATAATGAAAACAACGACTAAGCCCAATTACTGGCCACTTAAACATTAAGAGAAAGCAGTGAGGCATAAGATAAAAAAGAACAGACAATGAAGTGCTCGGCCCAACTCTTTAAAATCTAAGATTTCTCCACAGGAAGTTTTGTTTCTCTGAAGTTGGGCAATGGCCCAATGGTTTTGATTGCAGGGTCGTAGACAACCTTGATTTACTAGAAGAAGTTTTCCGTCTCGCCTCGATCCCTATGCCCTCGTCCGTCCAGGCATCCCAAATTTCTTGCAGCTGTTGCTGCAAAATATTAACAAGGCTCCCTTGTTGGCGCTGTTACCGCCTATGGCTTAGACTTTGTGCAGCGTATTCTTTTCGGCGAGCAGATTGCGAAATTCCCTGCAGATTCCATCAAACTAGTTAAAGTGGCGTAGTTGCGGTTTGCAGTTGGCGTCAATGTGTCCCCATGGTGACGTTGTCGCACACATGAGCTGAGCAATCTGATTCCTAAAATCTAAGCGGTAAGCGGGCCAACTTAACATAACGATATCTAACCTATCTGATGGTCGCTTGCTTTGTGGTCTACTGCGGGGTTGCAGTCGAAGCCTCATTTTGGAGAAGGCCTTATGTTGACGCATCCAGTCATCGGCGTCGCGGATCGCCTTGATCACCATCACACTCTGCTGATCTCGACTCTAGAAAAGACCCCAGTCCAGCAGTTGCCAGCGCCGCGAGCATTCATGCATCCTTTCCTGCATCAAAAGGCGGAGAATGTGTTGATCACGAGCAGCCGGTGCTCCGACACCCAACTCCCCCAGCTGACCAAGTCCACAGAATTGAATTTCGTCGAGACCAGCAATTTCTACCCTATAGAATGCTAATTTCTGATGTACAACCACCTTCCTCCTTTTCACTCAGCTGTCCCTTGCGTTGTTCACGTGAGGACGAACAATTCAAGCTGCCAGTTTAGCAAGGGGAAGGGAACGATGATTGGCTTTTTGATGGTTTCGGCCGCCGACTGCACATTTGCCAGCCACGGCCAGCGTGCAGAATGCTTGTTCCAAGCATTTCTAGTCCATCCCCCCACGAGGAGGCCGCTTCTACTTCCCAGGAGACTGCCGAACTCCACTTTAGATCACAGCTTCGTTTAATGGAAGAGCGACTCGAGCT